GTGATTAATTTACTTTCTTCTTTTTGAGTAACGGCTATTTTTAAGAAAAAATATTTTCTTAATAATAATCTTAAAATATATTACAAATTTTAGAAAAACTGATTATTGTATACTTAAAATAAGAATTTATTTTCTTTTACAAAATATTTAAAATTGATCAAAAAAGCAACTTTATATTATGAGCAAATCGAATTTGTTTTAACTTAATCTTGATTGAAGTATTACTAGGATTCAGAATAATAAATTTGATGCTTGTGATGAACTTATGATAGATTTGCGGATATAAACTTTTGAAATACTTGAAACAAAATTATTACATGCATAGTATATAAAATATGTAATATTTTGTATGTAAAATATCAAGATTTGTTGTAGCATTGTTTATTATTGCTTGACATTTCTACGTAATAATTTTGATAATTTAACAAAATTATTTTCAGATCTGTATGACTTAATTTTTTAGATATTTAAGCAAAATCATCCTTTCCGCGCGTGCGTGGTTTTATTAGAATTCAACATTTTGATTAAAAGTGTTTCGCTGTCAGCTTTAATTTCTCAGGCCGTTGCAGATCGTTGATAAATCGAACCCTTCGGTATTACAAAACAGCTCGGAGCGGCATCCGCGCTGTTACCTGTCCGGTTATCTACGAGCGAGCATAGCGCGCCCGCGGGTTCGGATAAACCAATCAATAATTGATTCGTGCATGGATGCACGATGTGTAATGGAGTTAAGCGAAATGCAATGGCGTTTTAATCGAACGCATGCCACTCTCGATGTGGTGGGCGCGATCGGCCAATTAACCGCCCGATTTCCGCATCTCGCCGCCGGAGATCAATCGCCTGCGGATCGTGACCCTCGCGGATCTGCGATCCAAACATATCGAACATTATTGTACAGATAGCAAACGTTTGCAGCTCTCAATCGACCCACTGACAAATATACACAAAAAGAACGGTTTTGCCAGGATATCTAAATATTTAGCTACATATAGATCTGAAAATAATTTTTTAATCATTCAAATAATTATATTATTAAACCACTTTCCAGAATATTAATACTTTTTGTGGTATCTTTTGTTAAGTTCGAGCATCCTATGCTCAGAAAAATTCTAGTTGCAAATGGACAAACCAGAATTGATATAGCCATTTCAAATCGAATTCTTAACTCAACTGGAATAATAGATTTAACCAAAAAATTCTGATTTGTCCATTTTCAACCAGAATTTCAATTAGTGCACTCTCTCTCTCTCCCTCTCTTTTTCTAATTATTATTATGATAGCTCATTATTTTACCAATTACTTTAATAGTTCAATAAAATTTTCAATAATATTTTCAGGTGTATATTTATACAGTTAGATTAATTAAAAAAGTAATGCTAATCCAATTCCTTGAATTAAATACCGTTTTATTGTTTTTAATTTCTATGTGTGTCAAAATGTAAATCGATCTATTTTTGTGATTAGTTTCAAATAAGCTATGTCCACATTAACATAGATATGCACTTAATAAATAATGAACTAAATTTAATATATTTTTGCAAATTAAACTGGTTAACTCTTTTGTTTTATTTAAATTAAAAACAATATATTGAGTAGGGGCAGTGGCGATCAATAGAAATAGTTAGAAATAACTCAAATTGGGTATAATTTGACATTATAAATTTAACAGTAGATATGTAATGTACATATTTATATTTTTTTCATTAACAAAACCGTTCTATGTATAGAAATGGTTACGTAGTTGCATGAATTTAAATTAATGTAAAGTCGTAAAATTAATAGTCTCTTTCATTATACAACAAAAAAAAAAAAAAACATATGGAGCGCTTTAGGTCAGTCCATTTACGTAGCCTCGTAATTACACCGCTAATACTAACCGATTACACGCGTGTGGTGCACGATTTAAATACCGCGTCGTCGCCGCGTCGTCTCGTATTTGTTAATATTTCACTTCCGGCTTGCTATTGCGCGCGGCACCGGGTTCAAGTCAGCCGTGCGCATTGTCTAAAAATAGAATATAGATATCTGCGTGGATGTGAAATCCGGGAGGATTTCGTCCGCGCGTGTCCAATATTTCGCAAACAAATCTCGCGCCGAATGAAATCGAAATAGATGGAAGGAAGAAAGAGACGTAACGCGACATAAAATTCTATGGAAAATTGTTAGATTTTCTCCGAGAATGTATCTAAGACGCGAAATAAAACTTCATTCTTCAACTCTGTGTCGTACTAATCCTCGGTTAAATACGCATCGCTCGCGTTCACCGCTACGTTCACTACGTACAGCTTTCACAGCGAGCGCCGAGCAGCGAGGAAACCTTACGCGAGAACGGAGAGAGGAAAATCAGACGGTGGCGAGAGAGAAAAAGAGAGAAAATAGGAGAGGCGAGAGCGGCAAGAACACAGCTGGAAGGGATAGCGCGCTGAAAAGATCCTGAAAAGAGAGATTCCACAGGAGGGGTGGGAGGGGCAAGGGTAGCTGAGGGTTGGAGGGTAGCGCAGGAAGGCCGGACGGACAATATGGCCGCCAGTGAGCGAAGGAAGCGCCCCCTGGAAATATTTTTCTGATTCCCGCCGCGAAGCAGTTTTCTATCGTTGTTTCATTTGCGTTGCTTTCTCGATCACGCTTAGGTTATATCCGTTCAAATCTCAGCGAAATGTATTGTCGATGTGATACTTGATCTGAATTGTAAAACTCGATATAGAAAGGAAAAAGAAACACAACGCCTGACGCTGTTTTCGAACGGTATCCTTTTACATAGGATCTGTACCTTTTACGTAAAAAAATGGTCTAATAAAATTATTAATATATTGTATACTTCCATCTGCTGATAATAAAATTTCATATGACAAACGTCCGAAAAGAGATTATGGGTTTTTTTTTCATAACCAGAGAGGTTTAAAAAAGAAAATAGTAGAAGCTTGTTTGCAACAGAACATTTTAGACATTTAACCTTTTTGCTTTTCCTATTTCTTCCCAAAGTTTACTAAAAAAGAAAAAACTTAATTTTATATCCTGGTTAAAATTACTTAATAAAACTCTATTAATGCAGAAGGCTTCACTATATTAAAAAAAAAAAAAAAACATTGTGATAAATAAAGCAAAAACTTTGACATATAAATATACATATATAAATATATTTAAAAAATATAATAACTTTATAAATGAATAGATAAATACAAATAAACATATGTCTGTTTTAGTCTGTCTACTAAAATCACTTCAACATGAAGAATAGAGATACAACTGTGTCGATATACTCTACATTCTTTACAGTAGAATCTTACTGTGAAAAGTGAAAATTGAATCAGTTTTGGAAAAAAACAGTACAATTTTCAATTTCTAAGAGTAAGATTTTATTGTTCAGAATAAAATTCATTCTAATAGTTTTAGAACATCTCCTTTAAAAAAAATTACAATGTAGCATTCAAGATGTGAATATTTGGTGTTACTAAAATGAAAATTGAACCAGTCTTAGAATAACTCGATTTTCAATCTTATTGTTGTAAACTTTCACTCTTTACCGTAAGATTCATTGTAAAAGTTTTAGTGTATTCTTAAAAAAAAAAATTACAAAGCAAAACAATTCGAGATGAATATTTGGTACAAATTGCACAAATGACAAAACTTAAAGGACTCTGAAAATTTTCAGTTTGGAAAAATCGATTACCTAAATCAGTCTGACTTGAAAAACACGTGCGTGATCGAGAAAACGTGTTTCACGATCGCAGGAAACGAGCCATAGTTTCGCAGCGATGTGTATGCGCTTGACCTGCCCTCGCTCACCATTTTACCAGCCATTGTTGCCACCATCCAAGACGAAAAATTGCGTTATGCACAGATTAGATGCTCGATGAATATTTCTTACCGATTTCACGACAACCCGATGCAATGTACGTTTTCGTCTTCGTTCCCATTTGAATTAGAACAAGAAAGACTAGGAATCCACGTTGGACGGCCAGTCTTTCACCACGGAAGAAACTTAACTTTTTTTTGGTTAAGTACGACGAACGACGGACTCATCCGCTCATCGAAACATTTCGCGGACATTCGCGTGTTTTTTCAATTAAAGGATAGAACGACTCGTGAAATAACGCGATATACGGCTCTAAACATTACTAGGACGAGGAAAATGTGAGCGAATGCGAGAAACGACGACGATCGTTGTCAGCCAACGGAGAACGAGAATCGTCATCGACGGTCGAGGAATTGTAATTTCTCGATAAAATTCCGCAATCCGCAACGCCTCTGCATCGCCGAACCGATTTGCGGCCCGAAATAGCATCGCTTACCTTAATGTGACAGGAATACAGAAGCTCGCTCGTAGCTCGGATGTAAACACAGGCATTTTTCCGCGGAAATGACACTGAGGCAGCCAAAACGACGTGCGTCTGAACACCGTTTACATCGCGGTCGATGCCGATGCGTCGCACAAAGCTGTCCTGCGTTATTAAATACCGCGGTAAACACGGGAATTCGGTCTCTCCACGGAAAACATCAATCGAAAACTAGAGATGGCAGCCATTACTTTTGTACAAAACAAAGGTTTACATCCACGGACTCGCGAGCGAGCGAGCCTCGAACCCAGCGTCTTTCCGGCGCTCAGAATGCGGCGCTTAATTCAAACCGGTCGAGTCGATAATCGCTTCGATATCGTCTGCCGTTGTTTTCTCGTCTGCAATTACGATCGCCGAAATTTGTTACGGGCGCAAAATCAAATGTAAAATACCCTACACGACGAAATAATCGGGATAATTAATCAGCGCGTGCAAATTTGCCGAACGACGGACGCCTGACTGGGCCGAAGCTAATCATGGTTGCGGGAAGATGTCGCGCCGCTCGCGCGCGGCGCCATCTCTCGGTGAACGCGGCAAGCGCGAACGCCGTGCGCTACCAACGTCAGGGAGCTAAACTGCGCCGTGCTGCGCCGGATCTGACCGAGCTGAGCCGAGCTGAGCCGAGGTCAGTCGAACCACTCCGAGCGGTCGGCTTCGGCACAGTGCTTTCGACATGTAAACCGAAGGTCCACGATTGCAACTCGAATTTTCCGTCAACCTCCCGAAAGTCGCGCGAATCCTTCGCTATTCTGGCGGCCGCTTATCGTTTCCGTGAAACGTCACGATTATTCTGGGAAGGACGTGCGTACATATGTTCATGAGCGTTCTAATGTTGGTACTATTTGCCGCTACGCGCCAGAGAATAACAAGGCGACGATCATCGCTGGTCACTGTCGCTTATTGATTTCCTGATTTTGTAAAGATATATATTCCTCGCATAAATACCGCGGGACACGATATGCCAGCGTGATTGAGCAGGTACTTGTCGATCGAGAATTCTTGTTTTGACAACATTTGTAGAAAATTCCTTACGCGAGAAAAAGGAGAAAAAAAAAGAATTGTTGCTGCTTTTGGAGAAAATGAAATGCCATTAGAAGAAAAAAAAACAAGAAAATGATTCGGCATAGCCCGAACATAAAGTTATGAATGAACATGTTTTCCGAATGATTATACGCCTCTGCTGCGATTTTTGTGCGGATGTGACGTACTTCGTGCAATTGAAATAATTGAATTCTATCACGCGGATCGACGGTTTGTTATGCAAATTGTTCGAGAAAAAAAAACATGATGCATGAACATTTGTTCACTAGATATACGTACTAGTCTGTTATTGTTACTCTGTTTTTTTTTGTAGCTGAACTGATATTCCTTACGCATACTTAAAATAAAATAGGTATGCCTGCAGAACACATTAACGATAACAATACATTAATGTATAAAATTAAAATATAATAATTCTATAGATTCCAATTAAAAACTTTTATATTATTATATTTCAACTTGGAATTCAATTGATAATGCCATCCTTATAAAATAATTAAAGTTTTAACATTGTAACTTATATGCTTCTCTAACAATGCTCTACTCTTATTAGCCTTGATTTTCTTTGTTGTATCAACAATATAACTTGTGTACTTACAATATATATTATTTTACATTTATATTAAAATTAGAAAATTATAGTGTACATATATTGATGTAATGTTACTGTTTCGTGTTCTACAAGTATTCATAATTTAATAAAAGTGAATTCTACTCCAGTAATGGAAAAATTAATCTCTCAGAAACCTATTTTAATGTTCCTTTTGTTGTAATAAATTTATGTTCTATATTGATATATTGTAGATGAACACTTGTGTGCTTTTATATTTAGAAATGGCTGATACGGATCCGCAATTTAAACGCCTTTTACTGCCAGCGGAGGAAACTCTGTTTGAACAATTGCTGAGATTCGGTCTCTACTTAGGTGCAGTGTTCCAAATCATGTGCTTGTTAGCTATAGTCGTTTATCAGGCTGGTCCATCCGATGGTGTGGCAGCTTTAAAGGTATATTCTAGCTGTTGTAAACTGTTAAACAATAGCTTCCTCACAGTAATAATTCTTCTAATTACAGGATGACCCAAGTGATGTCGAATGTTCTGAAAATAGTCCTCAAGTGACACCAAGAAGACCTCATCGGCCACGAAAACAGGAGAAAAAGAAGAGGCGTTGAAATGTTCACATTTCCTGTGACAATACTCTGATTTTACTCTCATGATCTTACATCAGATGTTTTCTATTTGGTGACATAAGTGTTGTGTTTGCTACTCATAAAATGTAAGCAAAAAAAATAAGAGGACAATGTTTGTCTTAACTATTGTCATTAAATGAAAAGCCATTAATTATGACTAGTCTCATAATTAAAAATTGAAGACTATATGAAAGTTAGATCTTTAGAATAAGTCTTGAGAAAGTTCTCATTTTTATCTAAATTATTTATTAAATAGATATTTTATAATGTAATACCAATCTATAAAATATAATTTTATTCTATTTAAGCATGAAGTTATTATATCTGTTATTGCAAAACCGTTATTTCTATGTAATATTTTATAAAAGAAAAATAATTATTAGTTTTCATATAATAAAATTTGTGAGAAAGATATTTAGAATACAAATAGTCTTTTTTAAAAAAAAGCAACATTGTTATATATTCTATTTTTTAAGCAAGAACTTTCTGTTTTAATGTCTTATGTACATCAATTGTAAAACTTATTCTACTTATTATTTCTATTTCTATCGGAGAAAAAATAGCTTTGTGTATAAAATTTTTATGTATAATATACTCATATAAATTATATATAAGATTCACGAAGACAATTTAGGAATAAAAATATGCTTCCAAAAAAAAGATATCCTGAAGACTTGAAGAGTTCTTTTCAGAACAGGCAAGAATTTTAAGACCACCCTATATTATAACATAACCTTTTAACACCTAGGCATAAACCTGATAGGAATCATCCCTGTGTTCTTCACATCTTCGTGCATCCATCAAAATTATCATACCTATGGATCGCCTAGAGTGGTTAGAGCTTTATGTCAGTTCTAGAATTGCCCGTTCATTATCACCAGTGCCATCAGTACATACATATAAGATAGACATCCATGAGTAGTATATCCATTTTTTATTTGGAATGCGACGATACGTAGCTGCGTACATGACCTGTTACATATCATAACCTCTCAAAAAAAGTCACGGCTAATTGAATGATGCTTTATATTTGAAATATTCTTATTAATAATTTGTCAAAAATGCTGCATAATACTGCGACTCTGTCGCCTCAGGAAATTTTATCTGAAGTTAGGAAATTCATCTCCGGTGCTGTCCGGCCGACTCATAACACGAACACGCAAGATGTGACTCGCACGGCATTATCTTTGCTGAAAAACGTACCCGCGGCGAGGGAAGCTGTGCTCGAATATTTTTGTAATGTATTTTTCGTTGCTGTGACAAAATATGTTCGTCAGATAGAGGTACGTAAATATGTTATACTTTTTGTTTATTTGCACATGGCACACACACACATCTTGATATAATTAAAATAATATGGCAATTCATAATCTTTAAAGTCAAATCAGAATATATCAATACCCGAAGAGAATATTATAACAGAAATTCATGCTATCCTGAGTAATTTCGTCAATGGAAATCCAGAAGCATGGGCGCCTATCATATCAGCATGGTCATTGGACTTACTTGGTATATATACATCCAAATATATCATTTAATTATTTTAATTTATATTTAACTATATATATAATTAAATACTGAATATATATAATTATATATATATAAAACTAAATACATATTTTATTTTACTTTATTTAGTTTTATACATATTTTATTTAGTACAAAATGCATTTCTGTGATGTATAAAGTAATCTTCTGCCACAGGTAAACTATCGTCTGACTATTCAAAACGTGGGAATTTGCCTGTTAATGCAGGCATTAATGATTTTATGCAACAATGGATGTCGTGCCGTGCGACAAGGACTCTAATAGATATTACGGCTCAATGTCTGCAGTGTCTTATGCATTCCGATACGGAGTCTTGTATCAAGGCATTATTAGACACCAGTGTGATACATAGTCCATATTTCGATTGGGTTGTTGCTCATGTAGGGAGCTGCTTTCCAAACACTGTGATCACTAGGGTGCTATCATGTGGATTAAAAGACTTTTGTGCCATGGGCTATGAACATAATGTCAAAAATCCAAAGTTAAATTCTGTTGTTGGTATATTGGGACATTTAGCAGGTAGCCATTTTCAAGATATTAGAAAAGCGCTGTTAGACTTATTCGAGGTAAGCTTATTATATAAGTTTTATCGTCATGGTATCATATGTATTTCCAATTTATGTATTACATAATATATTTGAATAATTCATTTTTTAGTGGAGTTTACAAGAAGACGTAAGTCTTGATGAAGATACCAAAAAGCAGAAACTAGCTACTGTACCATTTCTTCTGAATCTGGCTTCACTTTCTCAAACTCTTTTGAAAGCAATAACTAGCGATGTGTTACAAATATGTATGTTTTTAATTGCGTTTAGAGTAAATATAATGTTATCATTACAATTAAATATAAATATGAAACAATGTTTATTACAGTGAGACCAGATATCATACCACGACTGACATTGTTTGCAGCAGATTGGTGTAAATACTTTGATAATCAACCAGCGGCCTTAATGGACTTGACAGTACATTTAATATTAGGATGCGAGCAAGGCGCATCACAAATAATCAATGTACTACTAGATATAAGTTTAAACACGAGTAATGTCGGCTATCACAGTGTCAATGCGGCGCAAAATGTGAAAAACATTTGTCGAGAGATATTAGAATTGATTCTACAGGAGATCGACCTGTTATTGAGAACACATGGGCCACAATCCGCGAATATTCTTCTACTGAGTTCTATTAAACAGGAGATATCGTTGATAGTACCAATGCTGTTAAACCCAAATCCACTGCGTGTGCAAACGGCTATCAGGCTGTTATGTTTTCTTAGAAGTCAAAATCCAAACATAGTTGTCTCTACAGTATCCTACATGCTAATGAAGGCGCAAACAATGTTCCATCTTGCTGCCTTAATACGTCTTATTACTAATAATGTTGTACAATTTCCTACGAGTAAATCTGTTACTGAAAATATGCTTGTTGGTCACGATTATTTTACGCAGGTCTTGGAGCAAGCACTCAGAGAAATACATTATAAAAATGTGATAGAAAAGGAAGAATTAAGACAGTTATTCAAGAATCTTATTATAATGTTAAAGCAAGTATCAACAATTTAAAGCAGTATCAACAATTTAAATATCTTATAGTTTAATTTAATAATTAGTGTATCATTCTGTTTTATTTAGGTGGGAAAAATCAAATAAAGTGGAGATATTACAGTCACAGATGATTAGCAGAGCCCTCAGAGCTAATTTGTATCAAATATCTTGTTTATTGATGAAAAGCGATGATTTTGACTTGGCAAATGATATCATTACTCTTTTGGATCTGTTAAGTATATCCGAAAAAGATCATGTTCTCGATATGGAACTTATGCTGAAGTTAACGAGGGCGATCATACAGTATTTCTTTTTATGCATTGCTCAAACTGGTAATTAGAAATCTATAAAAAGCTTTATTTTTTTTAAGTAACAAAGGATATGATATAATACAATTTCTTTTTTAGATATTATGAAAAAGGAACAAGGAGTAAAGATGGTATGTCATTTACTGATAGATTTGACATGTTATTCTACATCCGTACGTGTATTGGCTCTCAGAGAGATACTAGGAAACAGTATCAATAATGAACAGGCCAAATATTTTGGCGCAAAAGAGAAATTCAAGCCTCATTTTGAAGAGATGTTATTATTACATCAGAATCACAAACAGGTTTAAAATATGATGAAAATGTATATGCAGAACATATTCAAAAATTATTTGCTATTGTATGAATGTTGTATATGAGATTCATTTGAGTTAAATGTGTAAATTTAAATTTCATTCTAGGTGACAAGCACTATGTTAGCACAACGACATTCATCGGTATTTCACGCTGGTGTAATAGGACATGGTCCACGAAGACTTCCGCCGGAAAATTCAATCGACAAGGAAGTCATTACTTTAAATAAAATGTTGCTAATAGACGTCGTAAAGGTAAAGAATCCGTTAGAGTTCCTTTAATCTCTAAATTTTATATTAAATACTCTAATATTCGATTTGAATCATTTTCAGGCTTGTTGCAGTAATCAAGAATCAGATCGATATCCAATTAACTTAGATGCTCTGACAATGGTCAGTTTGTTGTTAGTTGAATTGGTATCGCCTGACGTTATGTACAATGGTTTACCGTGGCCTGACGAAGAATTTACAAAGGTATTATATATATTAATTTTCACTCTAATCAACTTTTTAACTTTTAATTGGAGGTTTCTTTCTGAGTGTAATTTGCGATACAATACTATGATTTATTTAGCTTCAGGTATTTTGGGATTAAGTTTATGTTTTATAAACTTTGTTTCTATCAGAGTAGAATATTTTTCTTACATTTTTCTAATATTGTACATGAAGAATATGCAACAAATTTAACGAAACTATTATGAAGAAATTAGACAGGAACGAAAACGTCAAAAACGCTAGTTTTATCGATGATACAGGCGGATCCAACATCACCTTAACTTTAATAAAACTAATCGAATCTTTCATTAATAAATAACCATGACATCGAGCTGTACATCTTTAATGGTTATTGAATAAAATAATTTGTTATTACAACAGGTCACAATAGAAAGAGATCTACAAATTCGTCGTAAATTCAAAGATGTTCCTCTGTTGTGGACGTTGTTAGAATTGACTGCTTGGTATAGGCCGGCATTAGCATATTGTTCCGTTTTACTGAGAGGCATTACAGCGACTGTCATGGCGAATTGGAATACAGAGGAGGGTGTTTCGCTTGTCAATATAATGGCACTCGGTCAATTACTACCACCACCGCTGGCAAGTATTAGGGACATCCTATCTGTTTTACAGCCTCACCAGGTATATTTCGTTCTTGCAACATTATTTCAATTAAAATCATATATTTGAATTTTTTAAGTAGCTCTGATTACAGATAAATACAATAATGAGGGAATGCTTGTGGGCGTATATGCGCGAAAATGTTCCATCTCCAGCGCTATTTACGCGAAACGAAGGTACCAATATAGCTTGGAGAGATATAGATATGTCATCACCCAACGCACGTTTTACAGATACTCTTCGTTTAGTATTACTGGCAAATATTCACACTTTAGGATCTTTGTATTCGACATTATTTTACAATGAAAATAAATAATATAAAATATATATTTTTAAAATAATATTTAAATATTTTTAATTGTATATGTTTTTTGTAAATACTAGCAATTGCATTTGACAGTAATAATATGTACAATACTTGATAAATAATGAAACTGTATCATCCATATTCTCTCTTTTCTTATTTTTTTATTTATATATATATACTATATATACGTAATTTTTCATATAAAAGCTATGTTTTAATAATACTGATTAATACAACATTATTAAAATACTTAGCTCATATGAAAATCTCTTTCTCCTAGTTTATTTTATATAACATGTACTTCAAAATATATAAGTATTAAGATTAAATAATTTCCACAGATTTCATATATTAAATACCATTAACAGTAAGTACATTTGGACATTTAATTGTTTTTTTTACTGTTATCCATTGATATTCTATATAACAATACTTATACTTTATATATATATATATACACAACAATCTTAAATATAAAGTAGAAAATGACAGTGACACACACACTGTATAAAATAGGAAGTAATCTTTACTAATTTCTTGTATACATTCTGCTTTTTATAATATTTAACACATTACATAATATATGGATCCTTCTTTTTATATAATCGGTCGTTATAATTCTCAATTAATATAGATAGAAATTTTATTCTTGGAGAGTATTCAATGATGATATAGAAAATATTCATGATGAGATTATGCATAACAAAGCACAATAAAATCATTGAGGAATAAAACAAGGAAGACAAAAAGAAAAATATACATGTGTTTTAATATTTATAAAAGCACATTTTCTCTCCTAAATACATATGTAAGAAACAAATATAATTAATATTTACTTCGTATTATTATCAATATAGGAATGGATGGTACATAAGATGAACGAACGCTGTTCAAATTGCTGCACGAATACCCTAGGTGGGTGTCTCGTCCTAACTGAAATGATTATTTCATATAATTGTATGCAAAATCGATTCAATTCATATATATAAATATGTCACGATTTTACTTATACGCCATTGAGTCTTCACATGGCTCTGTCTACGTCAAATCACAGAGCTCAAAAACGCTAGTAAAAAATGTTGATAATATTTAATCACTTTCTTACTATGTACACACTGCTCGTTGTACGAAAGATATTGAATCTTACACGCAAGCACGATGGTGTAGGACATCTTCCGTGCTTGTGTTTGCGAGCATTAAATGTTATGTTCTTACATAATCTCTACGCTCCGTCAATGTATCTTGCCTCTTGTATCAGTTGGTGCTTCGTGTATCACTTGACACAGCGTAGAATAAATAACGTTTAATGTAAAAATAAAGGTAAGTTATTTTTCTCGATATTAGGTAAACAAAAATCTTATAAAAAATTTAACGTAAAATAATATTGTTTCTAGAACAGATTTGAAAGTATATTGTGTATCAATGGTCACGTTAATATATTCTGTGTAAAAGAAGCACATATAGACTTTTTTTCAGAATTGTCACTGACAATATAATCTTTTGAGCAGAGAATCAACAATATATACTTTCGTTTGGCGCCGGTGTCTGTCTATCATTCTGAGCTTCGACATAAACACACAGCTGCCAATCCGACTCTCTTACTTTACAATAAATTATTTTACTCAGTTCTTCAGAATTAAAAAAGTTCACTTTTCAAGTCTATAGATGAATTAAGTTTAGAAGAGTAATGTAGTCATGCCACCCAATTCACTTTGCTCCTTCACAAAGATCTCGAAATATTGGTATATGATTGTGACAGCAAGCAAAATACCGGTACCAGAACCAATCGCGCCCAAGAAATCTGCTAGTACGGAGAGAGCTCCGATACATAGTCCACCGAATGCCGCGGCGGTCGGGATGTATCGATTTAATTCGCGAATCATGGAATTATCTCTGTGGCCTCGCATTACCATCTGCTGTTCTCTTAGTTGTTTAGCAACCTAAAAGTTCAATGATGCATATCATGAATTTTTATATCGCATCGAGATTTAAATCATTTCTTAGAGAAAATTATACTGACGTCCTTTGCTGAGCTCCCGGAGACCTCAATCCACGTCTTGGAGAAGAAAGCGCATGAGCCAAGCATGAAGAGAATGTAGAGCACAGCGTGAACAGGATCTTGAACGATATGACCAACTGATTCAGGAGGTGATAAGTAATAACACAATCCGCCAACTGGATACGATCTAGCAGGCCCTCCGCCACCAACGTCCGACCAAACACCTAACAGATTCACTATAAGATTTCCTTGGAATTTGACAGCCAACATCTGAGAGATGACGTATAAGTTGGACACCAAAGCCGACTGCAGAATAATCGGAATGTTGCTAGTATAAAACAATTTGATTGGATAACTGCTATACTGGCCACGATATCTGGCAGATTTGATTGGAAGATCTACACGGAAGCCCTAAAAATAAAATAATTTTATTTCTAGAGTTCAGTCACTCACGGTCTGAAATTATTTTGCTCTTAGATTTATATTAATTAAAAACAATTACGTAAAATATAAACTTTATATTCTAGCAATTGCTCTGTGATCTATCGGTAATTTACCTGGAAGTAAATAACGATAGCAAAAACTAGAATAGTAGCAAGAAGATTCATCAGATTTGGAAGATTCTGTCTGTAGAACGCTTCTCGAAGGGCTCGGACTTTGTCTTGTCTGGTGGCCAGCAAATGGAATAACGCGATTACAGCGCCTTCAAATTCCGTTCCACGTCCTATTAAATGTATAAAAATATGATTTTAGTTGATATATGTTAAAGTTTAAATTATTAAGAATATTTATATATATATACACATATATATATATATATATATATATATATATATGTGTATATATATTATGTAGGCTTTTTCCCTAGTAATAAGGAAGTTACCAGTATTAACTGTGGCTGGCGAGAATGCTTTCCAGACAATGGTCTCGCAAATATTAGTGGCAATAAAGAGAGATATTCCACTTCCCAATCCGTAACCTTTCTGGAGAAGCTCATCCAATAGTAATACGATAAGTCCAGCAACGAACAATTGGATGATAATCAGAAGACAGACACCAGCTCCAATTTCAGTCGGATCTCCGTACATTCCGGTCATTACATAAACAATAGCTTGTCCAACGGTAATAACCATGCCAAACACTGCATAAAGAAAAACATGCTACTTACGCTCCATTTGAATGATAATACATTAAAATTTATGTACTTACATTTCTGTGCTCCGTTGAATAACGCTCTATCTTTTGGTGTATCGCCGACCTCAATAATTTTTGCACCATGAAGCAGTTGCATGATAAGACCCGAAGTAACGATCGGCGAGATACCTAATTCCATGAGAGTTCCTCTGTTTGATGCAAGTATCACACGAATCCAATAGAATGGATCCGCACTGTCTGAAGACATGATACCGAACAATGGAATCTGAAAATAACGAGAGATTATGTATTTATATTTATTCGTGATAGAAAGAGAGAGGTTCAAACTATTTTCTATGAATTTCTTTCCTTATTATTTATTCAAACCTTAAGGTTTATTAACTCACCTGACAACATACTAAGAAGATAAATAATGTGATCGCTGTCCATAATACTTTTTCTCTGAATTGGATCTAAGGAAAGATAGAGAAATATTATGACCCCATCTCATTACGATTAAGATAAATTAATCTTCGGCAGATATACTCCTCAAAGGACTGTAGCTGAGTTTATAGATCTGTTGTTACATTGAACTAGTGTATTCTCCTTGTATTTAAAGTCAAATAGGTATACGTACATTTTACAATTAGCAACAATGAAAAAATAGCGAAGCAATAAAAAATAAATCTATTCTTTGATTTGTACTCAATTGAATAATCAAAAGATTGCTCTGTAAAAATCTAGTACTTAAAACAGTAATATAAAAACAACTGTTTTCAAGTTATAAATTTTTTACATTTTTGCAATTTAAAAGAGACATATGAATGATCTATGAAATATAATGAATACATCTTGCATGACTCAGCCACTGTCAGCTAAGGATCAAAATACCATAGTATAATTTAGACTTTAGTATAAAATACTAAAGTAATATAGATCAAAATACCATAGTATAATTAGACTTTAATATCTATTCTATAATTGCGTAAAACAGTATCTATAATAAGATTTTAAAGCTTAAAATTTAAGTTTTGAACCTTAAGCTATAAGAAATAATTCAATCACAGTTGAGTATAAGGAGAATGATCAGCTATGATTGGTTGATTTCTTACGACTTAAGGCTTAAGTTTTACGCCTTAAAATCTCATTGCAGATGCCGCTTAAGCGTAGTTATAAGTGGTTGTAGTTGTAAGAATTGACAACAATTGAATACTCTTAAATTCGATTATGATCGACCAATTCTTACAACTACAATAACTTACAACTACACTTACACAATTATAGAATAGGTTTAAGATAGATAAGGTATGAGTTTATCTATCTTAGGAGAAAAAAATACCAAGTTACAGCTACAAGGAATACAATTCTACACTGTCATCACATGTCATAAACGTGAATAAACAGATGGTAAAGAGTAATTCATTTCGTACTATACTTACACATGCCTGGAATGATTGAGGAATTTAGGAAAAACGGTACACGAAACTGTAAATACAAGAGAGAGACAGAAATAGATCGTATGTCGCGTGGGATTTACCTTCCGTTGCGGCTTCGCTATTTCCGGCAGTATACTGCAGAATGGCTTTATCACCTCGAGAAATTTGACTGAAAGCAAAAGAGGAGAAGCTTTTTAATGCTTCCAGGAACAACGGGTGCGCGTATGTCAACGTGATTCGCGTCATCAGCAATATGTTTGTGCGAGAGGTTACGCGCGACAATGAAAGAGGTTGGCGGCGAACGCGAATCCACGATGACGAGCGGCTCTTATTTCTGACTGTAAGTGACAAACATACTCACATCCCATCTTGCCTGCGTTGAAACGACTGTCCTAAGCACCGCGGATCGAGTGATCTTTCCTCACAGGATCCCGTGAATCGACACTGTTGCAAAGTACCCTCTCATCAAGCGCACGAATACGGCCGCGTATGCAAGACTGACAAAGCGTAGCGAGTCGTGGCTTACCCCGCCGACACGTATCAATATGCTAGTATCACGTGACTTGATGATGTTGGCCGGCACGCTTCCGCTTGCGATTCCGTCATCCGTCTCTAGATGACGCGGCGCGCTAGTCGATAATAGAGTACCTATACTCTAGTCGATAATAGCGTAGCATGTTTTACCGATAAGGTACTGTTAATATATAAACCATATCGACTCTGGATAAATTTTTGTAATCGATAAATAAGATACCGGCTATTAAATTATCGACTGTTGATTTAAATTTTTCTACAAACATAAATTTATTAATATTATAGATAGACTCAAGAGGGAGAAATTTTCCATCCGAAATTGATATTTCAAATAAGTTTAAGGTGACGCACTTCCAATCAGTTCTCGAAAATTTGTAACAACAAATTTGTTTACCAGAAGTTATCAATGAATTACGTAGAACAAACCGAAATCGTCGCATCATTTATTTGCTTTATCATGACAACGTCAGCTGTCACACAGCACGTCAAACCATTAATTTTTTTATCCAATAAAAATGTCAAATTATCCTAACTTGTCAAATTGATGACTTATTATCCGTATTTACCTGACTTATCACACCTTCTATATGTAATAAATAAAAGCAAGATGATGAAAGTAATAAATTAATCAATTGTAACAAGTCATTTGTTATATAGGCCGTTTCTCTGCATAAAAATATAAGCCCTTGGCCGATATGTACGGATGTTCAATCAAGCGAACAGGAAACAAGGTGGAAAATTACGTAATTTGTACTTGGCATAAGAATTCAATGCGTTATATACAGATTGTTCCAAAATTTACAAATTAAAATGATAGCTAAAGTTAAAATGCAATTAGTTAAAGTTTAAAAAATAAATAAATAAAGATGTTAAAGAAGTATTTGTCTTCCAAGCAGTTTTTTGAAATATAAAGTTTAAAAATAAATTTAAAACTGTCCAAATAATATAGATTATACAAATGTTACCGTTGACATTAAATTATTGTTTTATACACAGTGGGTTGCATACAATATTATATTATATTATAGACTTAGGAATTTTTCATTTGTTAATTTCTATCGATATTTTGATGGCACAAATTAGTAATGTAATAAAATTAGTATGGTAACAAAATTTACATTAAAAAAATGTTTACAAAGAAGATAAATAATAAATATGCCTTATATAAAAAACTTTTTTATTTCATTAATTATATATTTAGATAATGTGTTAAACCATTCAATAATATTTATTTATACTCACTAACGTATTATACTTATATTATTTATACATTAACATTAACTTATACATTTATCAAAAGTATTGTAGAAATAATATTCCTGATGGCACAAAAATATTTTTACCATGAAAAAAAGTTAGTAACTTAATAAAGTATATAATAACTCAATAAATAATATATATATTACTTGTACAAAAATGTTTATATATAATATTAAAAAAAAACTTATCTCGTAAAATATTGCATATTTCATCGTGAAAGTTTGTACAATATATGTTTTCACCATAACAAATTATAATCAATATCTGCAATTTTTCTCTGTCAAAGATTATAATCATAAATAATATCGATCGTTGAAGTATTCCATTTTTACACATCATTAATTGACGCGACGGTCGTTTCATAAATTACTGTCGAAAGAAAAGAAAAAAAATGACTTAAAATAATTTGTGAATATTAACTTTATCTAACATTTTGATATTTATCGTTCATGGAAAAACTCCACGAGTTTCGACCAAATCGTGAAGGTAGGAGCGCCTATATAAGAAGTAAGCAGGTGCGTTTAGATTTTAATTCGTTCTTTTCAGCCTACCCTGAAAGAGTCGTACACTACTCCTTTCCAATCGAGTACTACATTATATCACGTCATGAGAAGAGCAATTTGTAAATATGTGTCCCTGGTGTGCATTCTCGTCGCCCTCATTCACAGCGGGTAAGTGAAAGGACATTGCATCGACAAATTGACGAGATGTCATGACGTTAATAAAAGGAAGTTGTAATATTAAAAAGCGTATATTAAGTAATACTTTCTTCTGTCAAGAGACAATGAGAAATGAAAGCTAGCTCTTAACAGTTTGGTTTTTCCATTAAAATTCTAATAATAGTACACAATGTTGTAGTGCGTAACATTTATGCATGTGGTGAAACATCACTCAGACTGCTGAATTATGTCAAGTATTTAAATTAGTTTATTTTAATGGAGATATTAGTCTAGAATAAAAACATTTTCACAAAAAATCAAGCTAAAATATACATAACTCCATAAATATCCATCCTCTTGGAAATATATATATATATATACTCGTATAATTAAAAAGAGAAACTAGTTAAAATCAACGAGAAATTAGCCAGAATGGTTAAACTGGATCTGAGTGCTTCTATAATTGCGTGTGAATTCATATACTACATATGTAGATTTTTAGCTGAACGCCAAATTTTTTTCAGACTTGAAACGCAAGTTCTACTAAATTTTTCGCAATAAGAATTAATTATTTACAGATTTTAATATGTCATTCAACATTATTAAAATTGATCTAAGCTGTGCAAAGAGCATAAAAACATATTAAATTGTTAGTAAATTTAACTCGTGATATTACTGTGCTAGTTTAGTAGAGCTTACGTTTTAAGTCTGAAAAAAATTTGGCGCGCATCTACATACTTAGTATACTAGTATACAAATTCACACGTAATTATATATACTATATATAGAAGCACTCAAGACCTAACTTAACCGTTATGATTTGTTTCTCATTGATTTTAATTCAAACTGGTTAAGCTTTAATCAAAAAGGATATATATCATTAGGTATTGAGCCATTCAATATATCGGAACTTCAATCAATTAATTATTATTGAAAAATACGTTCTTGTTGAATTATAAATATTTTTTTCAAAAATTATCCAATACTATGTTTCACAAAAAATTATATATTAAATAAGTTTCTTGTGGAAATTTTCCGCATGAACGCAGAAACGTATATATGAATTTGTATGAGAGTATTAAGGATTTTTATTTTTATCTGATAGGAATAGAAATAATTACGCGTTTCCTTTTCTATATTTCTGTCCATATAAGCACTGCTACTTATATTCTCTTTTATTCAGCTTTAGAGACAGACCGACTAATGTTTATTTTTTCAATGGAAATTAACTTTAATCTCAATTTAAATTTTTAAAATTTATCTTAAAAAAGATAAGAGGTTAAACTGAGATTAAAGAGATAATCTATATTAATAAAAATAAACATAAATCGCGTTTGTAATCAGCTTTAGAAATAGACTGAGGTTTTTATATTTATTTTAAAAATAATGTCTATCTCTTAATTCTGGATATTTACATATTAAATTGCTGGTTATCTTTAATCAATGTTGTTCATAACCGTAAACAAGGTTTTATTTTATATCTTACATGGAATAATCTCATTTTATTTTAAATCACAGCATTAAATAAACATTACTTATCTCGTGTAAAGTGAAGGAAAACAAACGAATGTTGTATAATCTTAGAAACATGACAGATTATAAGCAAGTTTTATATAACATTTCCATATCTTCTCAACACACACTTCTATTTTTGAAATATATGTGGTCTGTAATTAAAATGCGCTTATGACAATATTAGCGCATCAACGCGTGACAATTTGCATTACAATGTAGATTATCTCAATTTGTTACTATAATGACATTATTATATAAGCTGCGTTTGTTTTTCACGCCCTCACGCTGTAAGCTTCACCCTATCATTATTGTTTGATACTTGCAGAAAAAAAGATAGAATGAAGCTTACAGCGCACAAGCATGAAAAACGAATACAGCCATAATAAACATCATTTTGTAAACACATGATATATTTCCCGTTTTAAATTTCAATGTTCATCCAACGTTACGTGAAAATTACGACGCAATATGTGTCTCCATGATACACAAGTGCTGTTTTCAAATCAAAATGTTTAAGTAAAAGTTAAAATTATATAGGATTTATATTAAATTCTTATTATCTAAACGTAGAAAAGAAAATTAGAAATTGCAGAGTTAGAAATTTCACTGAGTCATTCTATCAATCGATTGAATATACGATTAAGTTATCATAACGCGATAAAAAAAAAAGAATTATAAAAAATCACTTTTCAAATATTTACAATTTATTTTAACATTATTTTGAAGTGATTTGTTGTTCTGTTTGGGAATTGTTGATCAGATAAATCAGAGTGTGTGTGGTCGGAAGATCTTGTAATGTGTGTGCAAAATGCAACGCGTGTTGCATCTTGATAACCCCACGTATGTTACATTACGATAACCCATTGGCTGGAACCAAACAAACAATTTTATCGGTACAGCTCAACCGCACTAATTAAATAGTCGTCGCTGTATTTTGTCCCTCAGTATCGTCGAGACGATTGCTGGTTATTTGAAGCAATCAATGTGATTAGCCGTCCCCGCTCAAGAGTATCCGCTTCACTTCAGCTCATTCCCATTTGACTACTCGTCGTTAGCTTTAGTTCTACTCGGTTTATCTGCGACGATCCATCGTATCGCTAACAATCCGACTTTCGGCTGTTCAGCTTGCAACTGGTCTCGAACGTATACTGGTATACATACATTCTCCAAACAATGACGACGTAAATATCTCGACCTGTTATATTTTGATATATCATGATAGATCAGATAGATCCATCTCCCTTACTCCTTCTGCACCTCGTTTTTTATAATGAAAATAGCGAATGCGAATTGCGAAAGTACAGTAAAGTGCACACAAGTACGGAAAAATGCACACACGCGTGAAAAAGTAGACGCAAGACGTACGTCTGTTCCTTTTAATTACGTTCCTTTACGATCTTTTTTGTCTTCCTTTAAATCTTGGCTACGTTTACACCATGCGCTTAGTCCGCGACCCATCCTATTCCACCATGCTTATACGATAGGTGTCTTTGTTTAACCTATAGGATAAACAAGGACATCTATTGTTTAGGCCGCGGTCTAAATGTACGGTGTAAACATAGCCTATTGTTTTAAGCATATATAATATAAATATCGTAATCTATTTGTAGGCAGGCATGCAAAAATGTGAAAGTTGAAAAAGTGACAGATACTTACGGCCTTTCCGAAGGTCCTCATTGGGACCATCATACTCAAAAGTTGTATTTTGTTGATATATACAATCAGTATATACGCAGGCTAGATCCCGCAACAGGTGTTGTGACCAGTGCATACATAGGTAGACTATATATATTTCTTTTTATTATGGAAAAGACTAAATTACAGTGATTTTTTAATCCAGTGAGAAGTCAAATATAGAATGAATTATTGGACTTTTGTGTTTTGTTTTACATATTATTATTAATTATTACTAGCAGACAAGTCACACATATTTGATTTACTAATTTACTTAATTTTTCTCTTAAAATTGTAATAAACTAATCCTTCACACTGAAAAAAACTTACAAATTTATATACTAAATTGTCTCACAATCAGAAAATCTCTCTCTCTCTCTCTCTCTCTCTCTCTCTCTCTCTCTCTCTCTCTCTCTCAACTCTAATTTCTCCTTTTTTAAAAATAATTCTTTTAGAAAATTTAAGCAGTTTTAGTTATTTTTGTCCTTTTTAAAATTTAAGAAGGAGGTTATAACCCTCATATCCTTGAACTGAATTTATAGCATTTATTTTCAAATTTATAAATTCCACAATGTCTTTACAGATCATGGAACTGTAGGAGTTGTTGTACCTGTGGATGACACTGTTGACAAACTTATAGCAGGTTCAGAAAGAGATGTTATTCTCATTACGTGGGATGGAGACAGCAATAAATCTAAGGTACCAGTCGAAGTGTTGTGTTCACTCGACTCTCCTCAGTCTGAAACAAGAATTAATGATGGAAAAGTGGACTCAGCAGGAAGATTTTGGCTTGGTAAATTAAGAATATCACAAATAATAGAACTGCAATTTGTTTACTTACATTACAATATCTAAAATATATTTTTTGTAGGTACTATGGCAAATGAAGTTAATGGAGTGGTAGCTCCCAATCAAGGAACGTTATATCGTGTTGATAATGATTTTAAGCCTAATAAAGAAATATCGCCTGTTTCAATAAGTAATGGATTGGCATGGAACATTGAAGACAATATTATGTATTATATTGATTCAGTTACTCGTCAAGTTGCAGCATATGATTACAATCCGAATAATGGAACAATATGTAAGATATTAAATAATTAAATTTTCCATTTGAATAAGCAAATGTGCAAAAGTATATATTGTATGTAACTGAAAGGCAACCGTGAAGCATAAAATTCAAAAATAGAATTTATGGATTATATGTTTATAATTTTTACATTTTAGCTAATAAGAGAATTGTATTTGATCTCAATAAGACTGATTTGAAAGGATTACCCGATGGAATGACTATAGATGCAAATGGCAATCTTTGGATAGCATTATTTGGTGGATCTCGTGTAAGTGTATAAGCAACATTAAAAATTAATGGATTATTATTTATAGTATTATGGAGTTGCCTATGTGATATATGTATATATCATTAAATTTTATTATAATATTTGAATTTATTTATATAATTATTATAGGATTCTTGTAATCTATGAAAAAATTATTTATTCTAGGTTATTCACGTGGACCCGAAAACAGGAAAAGTATTATGCAAAGTTGAGCTTCCGGTTGAAAACGTAACCAGTGTCACATTCGGCGGTCCGCTTCTGGATACTTTGTACGTGACCACATCTGGCTACAATATAACTGTAGAGCAACGAAAAGCATCTCCTCACGCTGGTGCTTTATTCGCGGTGACAGGCCTAGGAGTTCATGGAGTTCTTGCAAATTCATTTATGATGGTGAATTAAAATAGTAGGAATTATTAATCAAGAAATAGATATCTTGATACTTCTTGTGAAAATGTATATATTACTAAATAATAAAAATAAGAAAATTAAAATTTTAAAAAGTTTGAGATTAGCAAAAATTTATATATTTTTCTTTTTATATAACGCGTCATGTCATTAAGTCGCGGTTTGCGGTACAATTTTGCATAAGCGTAGCACAACAAATATAGCACAGTTAAAAAGAATACAAAATTTATTAAGTCCGGTGGCAATGTCACTCGCATCATCAATTATGTATACCATCTGTGTCAAACAATGAGTCCCTGCCTATCTACTTACCTTTCTGAATACTTCCCATTATTTGCTAAATATTTCTTTCTATAATTTAAAAACTATGCTTCGTATAAAATTTTCGCAAAACGAACATTGTCTTAGAATTAAATGTTATACAGGAATACGACATATTTTAAAGATAAACGTTTATTTCAAATCACTTTGTATAAAACAATGTAATATTATCAATAATATAATCACATTTATTATTCAAACTATGCAATTTGCGGTAATTATTGCGAAAAGGTTAAACCTCGCCGAAGACTTTGATCTTGATATACTCGTATGTTGTCAAGGTCACTATTCTGAGTAACCTCCAACAGATTTTAGCTGGTGGTTGTTAAAAAATTATTAATAAAATAATTTTGAAAAATAAATCAGTTTTTATGCGAAGTGAGATCCAACCTGTTTTCCCTTTGTTTCGAAACACGACTTTCTACGCGAAGCAAGGTCTACATTATACTCCTCTGTCCAGTATGCCCCGAAGCAGGGAGATGAGACAGTGGAAAGTCGTACGCTTCAAAGCAGTGGAAGGAAGGTAGAATGGAAGTCGCTTCGTATCGGAAGTCATATGTTCCGAAGTAGGGGGAGGTGGAGTGAAAGTCAGAATTTGTGCTTTAAACTCTTTAAGGGGATGCTGGAGGTCCTGTTTTATCATTACTTAGTTAAAGACTCGTTTCTCTTAATTGCATTTACGGATGGAAAAATCCTTCTGCATAATTAAAGTATCGACAACAATGAATTGCGCTAGCTACATTTCAATACGAAAAACGGAAGAAAATTAAAAATTTACAATTTCGTTATGGGCTTCTGTGATTTTCGATAACGAAACTGTAAATTTTTTTTCCGTTTTTCGAAAAGTTCGCAGCCTTAGGTGCGCTCAGTTCCTGCCTGCAGATCCAGGGGGAATATATGCTACTCATTGGAGGGCTTCACTCACACACGCACTCACTCAGCACATACCGCACGCAAAAAAGGAAAAATAAAAAAACGGAAATAATAAGAGCGATGGTTCATTAAAGTTCCATTTATAGATAGCTTTATTAACGTAAAACATAGAAAAAAAAAACAAAAAGGAAGGAGCCAGAGAAAGAGTCGCGCAGACTTATTAATTGGTTTACCGATGTCGGATCCGGAAAGGAAAAAGAAAGAAGCGATTGATTCGATACTAAATACGAATGACTTGAACTACGCTGACTACGCTGTACTATACACTGAATGGATCCGAAAAGAAAAACGAAATACGCACTGCTCAACTAACCGATTAGTTTAACTTTACTTACGTTTGTTTTTACGCGAAAGGCGGAATCTAAATGTTCGGAGGTACGGTGGGTCGAAGATGGTGGAGGTGCGAGTGTAAGGTGAGAGAGGATGTTAAAAAGTTTTAATGGCCTTGAATGCAGGCAGAGAAGAAGAAGAAGGAGAAGAAGGAAACGTTTCTTAATTTTTCATTAAAATCATCACTTTTCGACCGCTTATATCTCCAGAACGGCTTGACCGATTAAAAATTTTTTTGGCTCAAATTACTCGTGGCGATGCCGCCTTTCAGAACATATAACGTTCGATTCAAAATTTTTTATATTTTAGTAGTTATGCACCCCCGAAAAATGGACTTTGGTGCCTCGGGATAAGAGACTTGTAGTGTCTTTCAGTTTTTGAACATGACCGGAGACGCGATGAGTAATAATATCTAGAAAATAAAAAATTAGAGACCTATAAATTAATTTATGTAAATAAATTAATATATTTACATGAATTTTTTCTTGCTATAAGCTGTTCACTATCATTAAGAATCTGTACAACGAGAGAGGTAAAAAGTAAAATCGATTTAAACCACAGAAAACGGACATTTTTTTCCGAGGATACTTACTATGCATGTAACAAGGAATTACATAACTAGTACTTTGGTGCATTGCGTTATCAGAAGGGACAATTATTATCTTATCGTCTTTTGAAGTTCTACTTTTAAGTTTCCACATAAAACTTGTGAGAAAAACAGGGAATTGTGACAAACGGTGAAACAAAGTTGTCTTAATAGGAGCTGGTAATTTTTAACTCAGAACGACCTTTCTAATAGCAAATTTCAAAAATAAAAAACTTAAACATATATGTAAAGTACATATAAGTACAAATTGTTTCAGAAAATGTTTAAGTTTATTTAAGCTAGTTTCGTTAAATCAGTGTATAATATATATAAAAAAGTGTAATTATTATAAGATAATATATACGATAAAAAATATTTCCTTATGCAAAAAGGCCTTAGTAGAATTAATAAAAAAAAACAATGTGTTATTTTATCTGTGAACATAATAACATTTTAATTAAATTGTACTTTTAATATTATATCAGGTACGTACATATATAACAGAAACTTTATAATTAAAACGTAACGTTTTTTTGTTTATTCTATTTAAATTATATATTATAATAAGTAATATTATAGTTAATAGTATTAGAATAACTTAATAAATTTTATTATGTATTCTTGTAAATTTATGTTTTTTTAGAAAATTTATACATATATTCTTTAATTCAAAAATTAAGTTCCTTTTCAATTTTCTTTACGACGACACTAGTACACGTCATGAGAAGAGCAATTTATAAATTCGTGTCTTTAGTGTACGTTATTATCTTCATCCGTGGTGGGTAAGTGAAAGCATCCACAAATTGACGAGATGTCACGCACTGTCACGCACTTATGTTGAAAAAAGGAACTCCTAGTTTTCTAATGCGTAAATTAAGTAATGTTTCCCTTTGTCGAGATAATGAGAAACAAAAGTTCGGTTTTTTATTATAATACTAGAAATAAATAGAACAATGTTGGAATACATTTGTGTTATATGTGAAATAACATTTTGGAAATGCTGATGACAAAATGTTAAATATTTAAATTGACTTATTTTTTAAACGAGGTGTCAGTCTAGCTACAGGATATTATTTTCATAAAAAAAATTGAAATTAGAATATATACTCATAACCATCCATCCTTCCTGGAAACACAATTAAAGAGAGAAGTGTTTATAACTTTATTCATAAAAAATCATTGGATTGAATCACTTAATATTTCGAAATATTATCAATAGTATAAAAATAATCATTATTAAAAAATGCATTTTTATTAGATTATAAATATTTTTTACAAAATTTTTTGCAAACGAACAAAGTACATATATAAATTTGTCTGAGAGCTTATAAATATTAATTTTTATCTGATAAAGATACATATAATTTCATTCGTTTCCTTTCCTGCATTTATAAAAAAATCTATCGGCTATGAGTATCACAATAATTTGTTTATAGGCAGGCACGTAAATGTGTGAATTTGGCAATTGAGAGAGTAATAGATATTTATGGCTTTTCTAAAGGCCTTCATTGGGACAATTGTACTCAAAAGCTGTACTTTGTTAATATATACGATCAATATATACACAGTCTAGATCCCGCAACAGGTGTTGTGAATAGTGTATACATAGGCAAGACTATTTCTCCTTTACAAGTTTTCTATGTATCAATAAATTTATAGCACATTTGTAAGTTTCACAACGCTCTTTTAGAACATGGAACTGTTGGAGTTGCTATACCTGTAGCTGGCACGACTGATCAATTTGTAGCAGGTGCTGGAAAAGATGTTATTCTCGTTAAGTGGGACGGAAACAGCAATAAATCGAACGTACCAATCGAAGTATTGTTTTCACTTGACTCTGCTCAAGTTTCAACAAGAACCAATGACGGGAAAGTGGACCCATCTGGAAGATTGTGGATCGGTAAACCAAAAATGTTTGATCGATAGAGAAACGAGACCTATTCACTTATCACTATTAATATTTTTTACAGGTACTATGAGTGATAAAGTTCCTGTCAATGATATGGCTAAAAGTAAAGAAATTCCCAAGCAAGGGTCATTATATTGCATTAAAGATAATCTAAAACCTGAAAAAAAGATATATCCAGTTACAATAAGTAACGGATTAGCATGGAATAAACAAAATACTATCATGTATTATATTGATACACTTACTCAGGTTGTATCATATAATTACAATTCGAATAATGGGGAAATATGTAAGACTTTACAAGATTTTTCATTTAAAATTATGTTACAAGAAAATGTGCAAGAGCGTACATCATATTCAATTTAAAAAATTATATCAACTATAAAGTATATAAAATTAAAAGAAAGAATTTAAGAACGATATGTATACTCATAGTTTTTATATTTTAGCTAATAAGAAGATTGTATTTGATCTTGATAAGACTAATTTGAAAGGATTACCCGACGGAATGACTATAGATACAGATGGTAATATTTGGGTAGCATTATTTGGTGGATCTCAAGTAAGTATACAAAACAATTGACATTTAAAAATAAATGAATTATTGTTTGTAATGTTATAGTTCTCTAATTTATAAAACAATATATATATATATATATAATAAAATTTTATTTTTTATTCTAACTCCTCAAAGAAAAAATAACAGTTATTATTATTTCTTGAAAGTGATTACCATTTACAACAAAACTACAGTCATTAAATGTCATATCAATTTTAATGCATATTTTTTTGTAAAATTAATATTTTTCCTAAATATTAATTTGAAATGTTTTTATCTAATTTATTAAACATATAAATTTAGCAATATAAAAAATGTGTAGATATAAGATAGCAGTAGTTAAAAGGATTTGTGAAAATTACTGGAGTTTTATAATCCATGAAAATGATTCATTTAGGTAATTGGCGTAAGACCGAGAACAGGAACCGTAGTGTGTAAAGTTGAACTTCCGGTTGAAAACGTAATCAGTGTCACGTTCGGTGGTCCGCTTCTGGATACTTTGTACGTGACCACGACTGGTTGCACATTAGATAAAAAACAAAACCCGGATCCTCAAGCTGGTGCTTTATTTGCAATAAGAGGCTTAGAAGTGCGTGGAGTTCCAGCAAATTTGTTTAAATTAGCGAAGCATTAAAAAAATAAAAATTATAACGGTTGTTAATTAAGAAATCGTTATTTATAGAAACACTTAACAAAAATTTATATCTAAGTGTGAGGTATAATGTCATTCGAGTCTTCACAAGATGTTGGTGTGTGATAAATAAATCCTTTATTGTATATATAAAAAATTTATATATACTTAAATTTGATGCCAGTGAATAAAAAATTTTAAACATTGCGCGTCTGTGTGTGAAAAGTATTCTTTCATTAGTTCCTAATATAAAGAAAAATATAGAGAAAAATTCCTAATATAAAGGAGTGCAGAAACAAAATATTTCCTTTAATCAAGATAAAGAATAGTCCGAAAAATATTACAAGCACGAAAACATCCTTTTTCTTCTTTCAGTAACAAAAACGTTCGTAAAAAATAATTCGCAGAATTTGTTCATACACGCAGACAAGGATTAATATGTGGTTGAAAAAACAGATTATATATAAAAAATGGAATCGTTGTTCGTTGACTCAGATAATGAAACGGAATTCTGTTAATAAGACAATCACAGAGTTAAAGACATTATTAAAAAGTTGGAAGCATCATGGATATCTCACGGAATCTATTTACAATAATTTAAATTGTACAGTACCAATCTTATCTCGTGCATACGGTTTGCCAAAAATCGATAAGGTAGGCTATTATATGTGTCATTAGGCGAGTTCAAGAGTTCAAGACAGCAAAGCGGCTATAGGTACGCTTACCGAGCGATTGAATATGATTGGTTGGATCTATAAGTAACAACCAATTATATTCAATCACTCGGCTAGTGTACCTATTGCGGAATTCTTTAAACATTTTTTCGATAATTGTTGTTATCGTTAACTATATAGCGACAGCCAATGAGAACCGAGCTTTCTTTTAGGATTATCCTACTATCGGCTTAAGATAACGCATAATCCGGCGAAACACACAGACAGGGAGAGTGTTGGAGTCAGTTAAATAAGTCTGTTTTCGTATTTCTCGATGTAACGAAGATGATTCTCATTTCTCTCTTTGTCATTTGTCTTGCGTGCGTGCTACTGTTTTTTGATTAATCTGCTTGTATACTTCTTCTTGACCGGACGACTTTACGTTTCATTGTGTTCAGTTTTGAATAAAGTAGAACACATTTACTTAATTCAAAATCGGTTCGTTTGCTTATTTATAAGTAAATTGCAATTTTTTTTCTCGGAAATCCGGTGTTTTCTTGAAAGTTCTGGTAGCCCCTCAAAAAGTTCTGTGTCCTTAAAGTTTCAGATTTTGATATTTTTTTAACTTCTAGGAGTTATAACTCCTTAATTTGCGGTTTTAGCGTAATGATTATTAAGGATAATCGTTAGAACTCTTTGGGGGGGCTACCAAAACTCTCAAGAAAACACCGGATTTTCGAGAAAAAATTTTTCGTCTGTGGACTTAAAAAAATTAAATATCTGTAACTTCAAAGTACTATATCTTTTTAAATATTGATTTTAGAACATCGATTGTTAAGGATAATCGTTAGAACTCTTTGGGGGGCTACCAGAACTCCTATCAGATTGCCGAATTTGAATGAAAAAAAAAAATGTTTTTAAAAATCTTTTGAAAAAAAATTTTGGAAATTCATCATTTTCTTGAGAGTTCTGATAGCCCCCCGAAGAGTTCTAACGATTATCCTTAATAACCGATGCTCTAAATTCAATACCTGAAGAGTTCTGGGTCCTTAAAGTTTCAGATTTTGATATTTTTACAACTTCTGTGTTTGCGGTTTTAACGCAATGATTATTGAGGATAATCGTTAGAACTCTTGTGTGATCGTAAGGAGCTACAACTTCTGTGTTTGCGGTTTTAACGCAATGATTATTGAGGATAATCGTTAGAACTCTTGTGTGATCGTTAGAACTAACGTGTTACCATCTGCACAGTTAGGATATATAGTATAATCGTAATAATTTTGGATGTCTTAAGAGGAAATTAGTTTCATCTGGTAAGGGGTTTTTTACGGCTGATGAGGACTCTGTGAAGTTGAAACGTACCGTATATTATAATGTTATCATTTAAATTTATAGATATATTTAACAACCATTATTGCTCAATTTATTCTTGACCTGGGAGGTTTATTGTTAATTTTAATTTGTTAATTTATTTGAGCTGTTTGTAATTCAATTTTAATTTTTTTTTTAAATATTGATTTTAGAACATCGATTGTTAAGGATAATCGTTAGAACTCTTCGGGGGGCTACCAGAACTCTCAAGAAAACACCGGATTTCCGAGAAAAAAATTGTTCGTCTGTGAACTTCGAAAAATTAAAGATCTGTAACTTCAAAGTACTATATCTTTTTGGATATTGATTTTAGAGCATCGATTGTTAAAGATAATCGTTAGAACTCTTTGGGGGGCTACTAGAACTTGTATCAGATTGTCGAATTTCTGTAAAAAAGAAAAATTTTTTGGAAATTCGGTGTTTTCTTAAGAGTTCTGATAGCCCCCCAAAGAGTTCTATCGATTGTTCTCTATAGACCAACGTGCTAAAATAAACGGTTTAGAAATTATAGCTCTTCAAAGTTACAGAATCGTGAAGTGTTGGTCCCCCCCCGTAATAATTTCAAATGGTGTTTTCGCTGCTTTAATCAATAGAACTCTTCCTAAATTTGATAGAGAACTCTAGAACTCTTTGGGGGCAACCAGAACTCTGCTTATTTTTTCAAAATTTGGCAATGAAGGGCCAGCTTCACAGACGTGAATTAATATTGGATTCTTCTTTATGCAGAAAGTGGGGATGACTAGCAGTCCATAGTTATACATATAGTCAAAGGTACAATCATACTGTGGTATGTATAATCGTAGAAGTCGTGTGCCCGTGTGCAGGGGAGAGGCGGGGTAAAAGTTACTTCGCGTGGAAAGTTCAATGTTTCACAAAATAGCGACTTTTCCCAAATGAAAATAATAATGAAGACGTTTTCCCCAAATGATTTCCGATCGATTCCATTCATAAAATTCATTAAATAAAATCGCTGTCTGCTAACTTGAGAAAATAGCATGAGAAAATTTGTTAATAACAAAAAAAATACTATTACCCAAATGTTTAAATGCTTTTCCCAAATTTCCCCAAATGATTCCCAAATTATATACACATAAATAAATAAAAAATATTCAGTTTGTCTGCTATCTTGTCAGTGGTGCAACCGGGCATTTTCGATATTTCCTAACCAGTTCATTTACACAAAGTCACAAACGCATATACATACAGTTATAACAGGATCAGGATTGCACTTAATGTATAGAAAGTTACATTAAATGCACTATCTAAACTGTCGACGCCATTTTGGCTCCAAATGCTAATCTTCTCATCGCGGTACTTTGTTAATTTAGTGACTTTAATTTATACACGAGGTGACTTTTATTCGCTAGAAGCCGCGTCTAGTGACGCCAATAATTCGCTAGCAAATTTTCTCAACACGTTTGATTTTTATTCGCTAGTGACTAAAATTTTGAAGTCGCAGCATCGAGTGGAAAAATTCGCTCTGGAAGAGTAACAAGAAGCTAGCGACAAGCGTCAAAAGTGGTATTCGCCGCTACTATACGCTAACAAGAGCAAACCCGCGTTTAGAAGTTTTTAGTAGCGAATTCGCTGTGACATCACTAGACGCGGCTTCTAGTAAATAAAAGTCACCCCGTGTCAATCACGCTTAACTGACGATCAGTTACGATCATTTTTGTACTGAAGCCTTTAATCAGGATATCGGTTATATAACTTTCTTTAGAGCGAAAATATAAAAAGTACAAATTTTTATATGTATGTACCTCCTGTTATATATGTATATATGTATTACATACATATATACATATATAACATTTTCACCTTCCTACCCTTTCAAGGAAAAAATTACATGGTTAATTCTCAGATAATGAAAAATTAGCCAGAGAGTTGTAAAAAAATTATAAGAAAGAATGATTGATTTTATGATTTTAATATATAAATTTATGTTTCTTAGAATATTTATACATCATTTTCTAATTACAAAAAAATTAATTAAATATGACTAAGTTACAGAATAATTTTGCGTTACGTTCATACTGGAATCAAAAAATTTTACAATAAAGAAACAAATACTTATATATATAAAAAAAATAACATACATTTGTTACAAATAATTCTATAACTTCCTGCTAATATATAAAAATTTCAAAAAAAAAACAAATTTTATATAGATATAATGTAAATCAGCCATTTTTTCAATTCATTACATTGGAATTCATTCAATAGACAACTTTACATATATAATTGGTTTATACATTTAAATCTAATTTAATAATTTAAAATCGAGAGTTTATACGAAATGCATATAAAACTCATTAACTTAGTTAATGAAAAATTTTGCAAAGTTATTTTCTCATATTAGGAACGCTAAAATAACTTTGCAAAAATTTCCCAACGTTATCGCTATTACGCCAATACAGTTTGTCAGTGCAAGAAATTGATTATCAAGTAGACAACTGTAAATACTCCTTGAAAAGTCATTATGCAAAATAATTGCAAAACGTCCGTGACTTATTTGAGCTACTTTTAACTTTAATCGTCTAATGTTATAATTTCGACGTTATCAGTGAGGAGTTTATCTTGTGTTTTTTTGTTTGAAACGTTAGCAGTTTTTGCTCTAGGTAAATCATACATAGATATACATTCGGCGGTTGTCGACGATCTCAAAGTTTCTGGGACTTTCGGTGGCACTACATTCACGGAAGCTGAAAGAGTTTTATAATCTATGTTCGACTTCAATGGCGCCTTCTGTTGCGGTATTATTTCCAGATGAGAGTGCTGTTGTAATTGCGACAACATTGAAAGTGCCTCGACTGAACCGGAAGTAAATGAAGCTGGTAATGAGCTTGGCACCTCTATCGCTGATGTCGCAGTCGATTTTGGCTTGCTGATGGATTTCTTGTAGTTATGATACTTAGCGGCCGCGGCCGCAGCCGCGGTCTTAATACCGCCAGGTTGTGAACCGACGGGACTCACAGAAATGCCGCTTAATTCTGGAGGTATAAAAGGCGATTGCGACATCGGGACAGAACTTGCCGATGGCATTGCATTCAGTAGATTTGGGAAATTGCCAGACATTGGCACTGACATCGTTGCCATCTTGGTTGTCGACTTTGCTTTCCTCACAGGATGATTCTGAACGTTCGTTTGTGTTGAGTAAGGTCGCGAGTTCTTTTTCGACAATAATTTATGTTGTAACGACGTACCGGAACGTGATACGTTCGGTAAGTTCATGGATAATGTTTGCTGTTTTATGATCACCGGTGCACCCATGGATGTGTGGGGGATGTGTGGCATGGTTGCGGTCGGATTCGTAGTAACGGTACTACTGCTGTTCTTTAAAGGCGAGTGCGATAGCGACGGATTGTGTGCGGGTTGCGGTTCAGTTAAGGATTTTGAGACTCGTATCTGCGGCGCGGTTATTTGCTTAGGCGGACTGCTCTTGACCTGTTGAATAATGGATGGTTTGAGTAAGGATACTTGTGCCGACGTGTTCGACGAGTGTAATACCGGTTTCGTAGGCGATATCTGAAGTGATTTAGGAATATGGACGGGTAACACTGGTTCGGTCTGAGAGCTCGGTTGCTTGTTGGGCGGCTTCGACGTTTTGTGATGAGGCTGCTGGCTCATCGAGGTGCTAACTGGCGTTATAGATATATTAGGTCGATCCTTCGTCAGTGACATAGTTGTGGTAGTCTTGGTTGTCGCTTGATGGTACATAGGTGTCGGTCGTAAGGTTGATACTGTAGAATTACTTAAACTCAGTAATTGTTGTACTGACGCTGTCATAGGATCTAAAGAACCTTTTAGACTATTTAAATTAGTAATGTTACTTGAAGTATTGACATTAGAGTTGGATGTACTCATTGTTGAAACATTGCTCATGCTGGTTATAGTGGTACCAGGATTGTTTAAGCCGCTAGTAAGATTAGTCAATGACGATAAGTTGTTTTGATATTGTCTCAGGATGTCTTGATAACTTCCTACTTGATTTAAATAGGTCATAGCCGCTAGAGGATCCATTATATTGCTGTTTAGTCCACTGGCTAGTATAGCCGATAACATATTTGCGTCAACTAACGGACTCATAAAATAAGGATTTATCAGAGAACGATTTGGTCCAGACGCACCCATGTAATTCGCAAAGTTACCCTTGGAACTGAACTGATTCATTACGTTGCCACTTTGTTGCAGAGCATGTTGCAAGTATTTATTAACATTTGGTGGACGTCCCCTCGGACGTCCGGTAGATGTCAAATTTCTGTGTGGTTTACGATTTTGCAATGTTTGCGGAGACGTTGAATTCACTGGCACTTGTGGTATGGGTGCCTGCAATGAGATATTAATTTGGTAATAATTAAATTACACATTGACAATTGCAATAATAGGATGATTTATTTACCGGAATAGTAGAGGCGATTTGAGGTGGTACGTGGGAACTATTACTACTATTAATAGATGCGAGTTTGTTTGCCTGTATCTGACGTTGACAACACTTAATAGCAATCTCCAAGACATTTCCTTCCAAGTTCTAGAAAGTAATATAAAAATGCAATTAAAAATAGTTGAAATTGTCGTGATTTTTATCTAGTAATTAGTATAAGTATATAGCAAGAAATGACAGTTTACAACAAACGACTTAAATGGTATTTGGAACTTTGAAAAAGATTGAAAAGACATCTTTCAAGATAAAGTAATTTACTATTATATAGTATGAATATTACAATACAAATAAGAGAAATGACAATTTATATATTTAATAATTATAATTAGTTCACTCTTTGAGGAAAGGCCTAGTTTAATAACGTAAAGTAACGTAAATGTAAATGACTTGGGATAGAGTGTAGGTAACTTGGGACAGCAAGTATTTTTGTTAAATTCAATCATAGTATCTATCTATGAGTTTCTAAAGAGAGTTTAAATTTTAAATTGTCTTTAAATAACTCATGGATAGATACTACGACTAAATTTAACAAAAATATATACTGTCCTAAGTTATCTACATTATCTCAAATAACATTTGTGGTAATATTCTATATTATAATCTATAATCTACAGCAATAATGTTATCTTCAACAATTTATATTTGATGTATTCTGCAAATATTTACTATCAATTAGATGTTAACTCAACTGTGTGTTATTGTCAATGACGAATTATAAAACAGTTGTGTAAGTATACGACAAAAAAAATGTTTAATGGAAAGAAAATTAAGAGATAAAGAGATAAGAAAATATATATAAACACCTCATATTGTATACATTTTTACTACATGCAAAGTATTCGACTTAACGCTAATTTCGACAGTCTGTGAATATGACATTGGCACAAGTATAATATAATTTTATATAAGATTTACTTACTTTATTTCCTATGTACATCTTATACGTATCTGTCAATAATGTTGCAAATGCTTGTATAGTCGATTCTTTGCCTTGAAAATGTTTCTGGACAAGTTGATATGTTTCGTATACATCAAGTAGTACTTGTGTTCTAGAGTCTGTTCTAATGAGGTGTACACTGTCGATTGTATTTACTGAGCCCATCGTTTGAATTCTGCTTCTGAGTGACTGTTGGCAAAGTGTCAAAGCTTGTCGGGATAATTGTTCTCTCTCAGAATCACGCAAGTATTTTCTAGATGCAAAAAAATTTGAATGCAATAAGATTACATTATGTAAGAAAATTATGTATTATTTATATCATTCATCTTTTTATATTGCACAATTCTTGTTATAATATTATTTAATAGAAGAGTGAATGATATACGTTCTAAATTTTATTTTTATATTCTTAATTTTACTTGTCTGAATCTGGAATTTTTCCAAGTTGTATGCACAATTGCATTAACATTCGACTATCGTTACTCTCTTTTAACACCTGCATGAGTAACGTCACACATTTCGACATGTGTGAAGCAAAACTTCCAGGTCTGTCAATTTCATTGATAGGAATGTGCCACACACCCTGTAAAACAAATATTATATGTTGTTATGTCAATGATATCTAAAACAAATTGTTTCAACAAAACTTTGTAACATATTAATTTTATATATTATAATTACAGATTTTATTAAATAATTAAGGAAAATGACTATGATTAATATTTTAAAAATTATATTAACACTATGTCTACTTTGTTTTGTCATAAGGTAATAATTAAATATTTAATTTATTATTTTTATAATTTAAAGCACAAATAGTATGAAAAAACTAATATAAATATATAAAAAAAGGCTAAGAGAGCAAAAACTGAATGTTTATATTTAATAATATTTATATTATGATACATTAGCAAACGTTCCGATCCAACAATTAGGTCATTTTTAATGTTAATCAAATAAATAATGACGACCTAAATAAAATTTTGCAAAAATATAATTGTCATTATTGTCGATATGTTACACAATTAATTATACTTTTGGACTTGCAATTTGAAGAACATATACCGACTAAACATTTCTGTAACATATTTGAAGAAAGAAGTAATAAGATTTATATATTAATTTTGATTACTTTAATGTTTTATAAAAACATAAATTTAATTTTTAAAAAGCATGTACATTTTTACAAAATTTCTTAAGCCTTATTATTTATAAAGCATTATTATTTATAAAAATTAATAAAACAAAGTTCTCAATGTCAAAACAATAAATAAAACAACCTAGAGGGCAAATCCGAGTCATCACAGGATATAAATAAAAAATTAATACACAAAAAAATGAATTTATAATTAAAATAGTTTAAAATATTTTTGTGTATTAATTTTTTATTTATATCCTGCGACGACTCTTGAATTTGTCCTTCAGGTTGTTTTATTTATTATTATTTATTTTATCAACATTGAAGATGACCTAGTTATTGGGTTAAAACGTTTGATGTATTATGTCACAAGTATTATTAAATATTAATATTTTACTGTTATAAAATTAAAAATAAATATCGAGATAAAAAAGATCTTACATTAAATTCGCAAGAAATTTAATGTAAGATCTTTTTTGATAAAATACATTTATTAATTATACGTATGAATAACTACGTCTATTTCTAACTCTCAATTATCCATTAATTAATTTTACATTTACTATTATCATTTAATATTTTACATCCAGTTTTTGCTCTTAGCCCTTTTCTAATATATTCATATTGGTTTATTTAATTGGACGTTATATATTAATCTTTTATTTATGCGAGCGAGAATAATGAGTATGAGAAAAGTTTTCTATCTCATTATTTTATAAATTTAAATAGTAAAAGTATTTAAATGAGAATATTTTTGGTATAATAGAATAATATATAATCGTATTTGCAAAATAGTAAAAGTATTTTTTTGTAAAATAGTCGAAAAGCTCCACGTAAAATACTGATAGATACAGATCCTGGAGGAGATGATGCTCTAGCATTATTGCTGGCTCTCATGTATGAGGCTCAAACTCATGATATCGAAATTCTAGCTATAGGTGTCACATATGGTAATACATATTTAGAAACTACAACAATAAACACGTTAAAAACCTTAACAGTTGCTAACAAAAAAGTAAGCATTTAACGATCAAATATTTCTAACATATATGTATTGTATATTCAAACTTTTTTATAGTATACAATATTTAAAAATTTTGTATATATAATAATTTTTTCTAAAACTGGACAGAAACTCGTATATGCTGGTGCCAAAAAGCCATTAATAAATAAATATGAATTTGATGATTTCTTTGGTGATGATGCATTTGGAGATTTTGATTTTACCGATGAGATAACTGCAAAAATCGATAGATCGAAACATGCCTCTGTAGCGTATGTAGATTTAGTAAAAAAATATCCAGGTTAATATTTTTTAAAACAATTATGCACAATACTCTCTTTAATTTTATAAAGTCTCTATTAATTGATACATACGTTGTAAATATCTAATTTGTTTTATTTTTTAGGTGAAATAACTATAATTACTCTTGGACCTCTAACAACAATTGCTATAGCACTTGCATTAGAACCTAATTTCCTAAAATTAACAAAGCAACATATCATAATGGGAGCAAATATCAAGACTAATGAAACTGAATTTAATTTTAAACAAGATCCAGAAAGTGATTGGATAGCGTTAAATAATGTCAATAAGCCTAGTATTATACTTCCTATAGACACAGTACTTTCTCATGTCTTTTCACAAGTAATATATATAATAATATCTATAAGTACAATATGTATGAACACTTGAGTATTACACTGATATTTAAATAATGGAATTTCATTTAAATAGGAGGAGTACATAAACCTTCACAATAATTTGGATAAACCTATTGCAAATTTTTTGAAAGCAGCTGAAAGGGAAGCTATAGAAAAAAATAATAACACGTGGACACCAGCAGATGGTATCACTATGGCAATTGCGTTACGACCGGAGATAATAACGAAATATTCTGAAGTTAATTTGACTCCAGTACTTGTTGGTGATGCAAGAGGTTCAGTTGTGGTCAATTCTAATAGCCAGATACATAATGCAATAGTTGTAGAATCTTTTGATAAAGACGCATTTAAAAGTTTAGTATCACAATATCTTTCTAAATCAGTGAGCAAATTTCCGTTGCTACCCTTGCTGTCGTTCCACCGCTTTCCGCGCCATTATCGCTCCCCGAGCACTTACCGTCAATTTAATGAATAAGCCAATTCGTAGCCAAAATATTAAGTTATTATTTTATGTAACTATCAAAATATATTATTCATGTATATATATGTATATCACAATTTAACAGTTTCATTTAAAATGCGTTTAAAAACTTTTACGAATTTGTATTTGAAAATAGCTTATGTTTCGTAAATAAATGACATGTGTGTGTTTTTGCAAATACTTCATTTTTATAAATTATTTTAATTCTTTAATTCTCTTATTGATGACATAAAATTCAAATATGAAAGATAAATTATGATTGACTCGTATGATTTATTAAAATCAACAGAAAGTGTAAAGTCATTCGAGTCTTTAAAACTGGATGTTAATGTTTATTTTATTATGTGAATTTTATATACTGTGTATGTAGTCCCCCCCCCACGACGCTGATAGATTTTCAGCCTTGACGCATATTCACTACCACAGTAATATCACTTAGTTAAATTGAGAATCAATTTAACCAATTTTTGATGCCTATAGCATCATATTAGATCTTAATAATATGTTGAAAGACATATATTAAAATTTAATATTAAATTAATAATTTAAACTCAGAGAAGCTGAGATTGTGAAGAATATCACGAGTTGGCGTTTCGTCAAAATAAAATTCAAAGTTAATCATTCTGGTTATTTTTACATGATGTGTACAGTCGTGCAAAAACATTCACCAAAATAAACAACTGCAATAAAAATAAACAGATTGAAAAATCTTAATATTAATAAAGAAATTACATTTATGTATTTATAATTTTCTTGATATAAAATTTTTTTATCTGTTTATGTACGTATATATATAATAATATATACGATAAATTATATAAGAAATATATAGTAAATTACATAAATTAAATAAAATCTGTTTATTATATATATATATACAGAGTGTCATTAATCGATTAAATCACCTATAAAGAGCAAGTAGACCGAACTGAGTCAAAAAGTCTTATACCATTTTGCAGTTTACGCAATATTTAACGAGATATTAGATTTTGCAAAGTGGTATAAGACTTTTCGACTCAGTTTGGTCTACTCTACTTATTCTTGATAGGTGATTTAATCGGTTAATGGCACTCTGTATACACACGTGCGCGCTATTGAAATAGACATGCATACAAGATTTTACTTCAGTTTAAAAAAGATTGTGTATCAATGTTTTAACTGAGTTAGATTAGACATTGACTTAAATTTTAAATTTAATTAAAATATTTGTTTACTTACATGTTACTTATTATATATTGTACTATATATATAAAAAAAGTTGGTACTTCTTCTCTCGGCGAAAAGTCCTTGAAAAGTTTGTCCAGGATAGAATTGACAAGTATATGTTCCTAATAAGAGATCCTTACATTTTACAATATTCTTCGCCTTTTTATTATTAAAGAAGAAGTGTGAAAGTCTATAAAAAGACTTATGATGTTCTGCAAATCTTAATATACACTGTTCCAAACCAGCTAAGCAATATGCGATTAATGTCGCTACTTCTTCTTCTGGCATCTGTGCCTCTAGAATTAAAAATATAAATGTCAAATACAAATTATACTACTTATTGCATTAATAAAATATAATACTTGTAAATTATGAGAAATTAATTAATTTCTATAATAATTATTAAACAGCACTAGTATACTTCTTTACCATTTTCTACATTATTAGAATCTTTCTTCTTTTTATCCGCGTCACTATCCATAGATTCACTATCACTATCGCTAGAGCTATCGCTGTCAGAACTATCGTCGCTACTACTAGATTCCTCACTACTACTAGAGCTCGAATTATTTGTTTCTGTAGTCGTAGTTGTAGTTTGTGTCGTTGTGGTACTTTCTTGAGAGCCCCTTCTACTTAAAGTAATTTCTTCATTCGCATTGGTTTGTGTTTTTCTCCTCTCTTCTATTTTATCTTTATTTTCCTTTTCCTGTACATTAAAATTAATTGCATATACACGCTCATACACATATATATATCTCAATTAATATTAAAAATTTATATGTAAATTAAATTATATAAAAACATAAACTTACAGTAGATTGCAAATCTTCATTTTGTAACCATTTGCCATCAAATCTTCTGGTATCCTCATCATCCGCTGAAGATTGCTGAGTTTCCTGACTAATTTCCATTGCCTGTTTCATGAGAGCATCCATTAAGTCCTGTACGTCATCGGTCTTACGTACAGAATCAACTGTTAATATATTTACTGAACTTTTCTCCTCGGTTTTTGACTGCAATTTCGTTTTATCGGCACTCATGTCCTCCAGTTTCTTCTTTTGCAATTTTATTTCATTACTTTCATCACTAGATATAATCATTATATCGTCGCTAGTTTTTTCCTTTTGCGACACTATATCACAAACTTTGGTAATTAAATCATCTATTAAGGCTACGACATCCTGCATTAATTGTAAATGTGAGACACTACTTAACTTTATTCTCTTTGTATTGTCATGTAACAGTTCATCAGGACATCGTTTACGACTTTCAGACTTTCCTAGTTCTGTAGACTTAATATCAGAGATTTTATTTGACTTATCTATGATTTCTATCTCTTCAATACTATTTGAGCGTTGACATACTGCTACATTTTTATCCGTATCTGTACTGTCGACTTCTTTCGTAATACTTTTCTCAATATCGTTCTCTTCTTTTTTCTTATCGTTAAGTTTAGATTGATACGTCATAAAGGGCCCTTCAGAGCAATTTTTAAGATGCCAATGAAACAATTGACCTAATGATTTCTTCAGTGGCTTTCCCTCGTGTTGTTCCAAATATTTTAATATACTCGCATGAATTCGGTAATGAACTTCTAGGGCTTCTATAGACAGATTTTGTGGACTCTTATGGCTTATTCTACGTGGATATTGAGCGTTATTATCATACAATAATTCACTAGCCTAAAATTAAATAACAGTATCAAATATTATAAAAAATATATAATGAATAATATAAATAAAAAATAATAATATGTAAGAATAATTAACCTTTGCGTAATGTTCTAAGAATATAGGAGGATCCTGATTTTTCTTCTCTGCAACTTTACCAAGCATGTACTGATAAAGCCATCTTTCATCATGCTGTATGGATGTTTCTTCAATAGTTTGACATATTCGGTTAGCAGATTCAAAACACTGATCTGCAATCTTTAGCATCTCTTCTTTTCTAGTTTCCAAAATTTCAAATATCTCCATACTTAACGTATCGGTCTCTTGTTTGAGCAATCGCGAACAAAACGAATGAACCACGTAAACAAAATTCCCGTACTCTGTCCAAATTACAGAATGACCAGGTGCTAGCTCAATAGCATGTTGATAACTTGACTGTGCCATTTTTGCCTTATTGAGAAACTTATCCTTTCCTCTAAAAAATTAAAAACATATATTACTTGTAATAAATAAATAAAGTGTAATACATAAATAAAATTTAGAAAACACTACTTACACAGGTCTGTAACTGTTCAACCAATTCTCAATTATGCTGCCCGTTGCCATAGCTAAACCTGCCCATGAATTTAATCCCTTCGGATATAAACACAAATCTAATAGATAATACCGGCATGCGTGTTCCCACTTATTGTTTTTAAAATAAAAATCACCCAATAAATAGTAAATGGTAGATATCGAGTGCGGTAAAGGTTTCATTACGCTCGGCATCTTATCTTTCGCACCGATTATGTATGCCGTCATTTCGTCTACTATTTGATTCGGATCACTTTCCTGAGGAACTAATCTAATTATTCTCTTAAACAGTATCTCTGTGTCCATACTGATGGAAAGAACTCTGGGGGATTGAAAGTTTGGAAGCTGTTTCGGTTTATAAAAATCAAACAACAGCTGCGCCCCATCCCAGGTTAATTCCATTTGTGGTACTCCATGATCCTGAAGATACTTTGGCCGCATTTTGTTCACCCTATTTGGATGACCATATAGGCAATAAAATATCTGTTCCAAATATTTCGTGAGTCTATTCTTAATAGAAATATACAGAGGAGTTTCGAGATGCGGTATGATAAGATTCATAATAAAAAATAAAAGTTTTGCTTCGTTGAAACAACACCACGAATGTCTACCGATAAATTCATGAGCAATAAATAAAATCATGATAGATGGTGGAATGCCGTCGTCTTCGTCATCTGATTCAGAATTATGAGAACTGTGCGATTTATTTTTATAAGACTCTGTCTTTGCTCTTTCCTTATCTTCTTTGCTATTAACAAATTAATTTTATATAATATATATGATAATACATACCATCATATACACATTTCTTGATAAAACTTACTATTGTAGAATGTAATGTAACAAGATCCAAGGTAGAACAGTCTCCAACGGCATCTCCACAGCACTTTCTGGTACATCCAACTGATGACAAACGATGTGGACTAAATTTTGTACCAATCTCGATAAACGAGGTTCCGATAGATATTTTACTAGAATTATGATAAATTATAAAATTAGCGTAACAATGTTATATTATTATATAAAAATCCCATTGATGATAAAAAATTATGATCTTACCAATAAAAACACTGGCTTCGATCGTACAAGCTTCTAATTTCTCAAGTGCTGTTACAACAGAACTTGTCCATTTCTTCTGCTCGGCTTCGTCAGACGAATTCAAGTAATTTTGCCATGACTCATTCAGACAAGCCTCTGCCCAGACGTAACATTCCTGAAAGTACTGGTATTACTAAAAATCTATTTTTACATATACAGGATGTCCCAGAACGACGATCACGACAAATTACATGCGCAGGTAAAGCGGACTTAACTAATTTGAAAAGTCCTGTACCATTTTGCGATTTGAGCAATAGTTAACGAGATTTTAACTTTGAAAGATTGCCGAATACGCGTGTTCCCCGGCCTACCACTACCATCAAGTGTACGGCTTGCGATGGCTTGCCACGCAAGGAGTTGGGGATTGGCTGGCAAGCGCCTCGCCGCCGTGCACACCGCCGCGAATCTCCAAACGTCATGACTCAAACGGCGCAGCACATGCCAGGCCGTCCCGCTGCTTCTCGCGGCCTGCGTGCCCAGCATTCTGTAAGTGTACACTTGATGGCAGTGGTAGGTCGGGCGAGCACGCGTATTCGGCAATTTTTAAAAGTTAATATCTCGTTAACTATTGCTCAAATCGCAAAATGATACAGGACTTTTTAAATTAGTTAAGTTTACTCTACTTGCGCATGTAATTTGTCGCGGTCGTTCTGAGACACCCTGTATAATACATATAATATAAACATATTTATAATATTACTTCATATTGTTGAAGTTGCCACAAGCTATCAAGTAACATGTTTAATTGTCGAACTCTGTCGACGATATTTTCATTAATTACCAACAGTTTGTGTCTCTGTTTAGCAAATTTAAAAGTATCCTGCAATATACAAGCCAATTCTGCATATTTTTTCTCCTCATACAGATGTTGAATCTCACCTAATTTTTGACCTCTAGAGTACAAAATTAAGTTGTAGTATCTTTAACGTTTAGTTTTGACATATGTATAATAAAATACATTAATATAGATGATAAAAGAATCTTTAAACAAAAATACCTTTGGATTGATGTCAGCTTTTTCTTTACAAGTTTGGTACTAATTTGAGAATTATTTTTACAATTTAAAAGCATAACACATGGATTTAGGCTTTTACTTTCCATTTCATGCAGACGGTTCAACAACTAAAAAAATTCATATTTGTAGTTTGTAGCAATAATTATTTTAATATTACTTTAAACTTAATGTTATATTAAACTTTCTTACCAGTTCTAATGTTTCTATGACTACGTCTATATCACCTTGGCACAGAAAAATGTTACTTTTTAGCCATAGAATTCTCAGTAACGTGTATAAATTTTCTTCATTTAGAAGATCCTGTCTAACACTTGCGAATATTATATGTCCTAATTCTTCTGCTGGCATTCCAGTGCTAAGTTTATCTAATCTACGATAATTATTTTATTTATATATATAAATTATTTCTATATTTTAATATAAAAAAAGAAAAAATTATAAAAATCTTACGTTGGACTTGGTGTGATGTCTGGTTTATTATCTAGCCATCTGTCTGTATGAAGTTCGCCAAATAACAATGTCGCTTCGGTATCTAATTTTAGAACTTTGTCATTGACATCTTCATCAAATGGTGATAAATGTGGAATATGTTGTCTAAAAAAAATTTTTAACTAAAACTTTTCGTTTTTAATAACAAAAATTAAAAATTAAAATTAATCCTCATATACCTACCTCATAAAAGCATATGCTTGTAGATAAATATCTGACATTCCTTTTGGCCATTCTTGATTCCATTTAGTACATAAAAATTCTGCAAATTTTGTGATAATTATCATTAAATTGCTTTTACTGCTGTGTTTATTTATAAATGCATCCACTTCAGCAATTTCAGATTCTGTTCCAAAGTATTTCTGTGGTTGACTGTACAAATACAAAGTCGCAGATTAATAATATAATAATCACATCAATAAAGATTTAATTATAGACAAATACCTTGTATCAGGACTTGGCGATTTAGAACTTTCCGAGCATTTAAGAGTTTCCACATTCTTATTATTCTCTCGATTCGCAAATAATTGGTACATATCCATAGTGTCCATGGAATCATCCAGATTTTTAGTAGAATCATCTTTAGTCAATCTTACTGTATCGGGTCTGTAAAAAAAATGATTAAATGAAATTATATTCTATACTTTTAAACTAATTACATATAAATTATTATTTAATATACGTACAATAGAGTACTAGGAAATAATCTTCTAAGTGTTTCTTCTAACTGAACATCGTCCCTCTCTGCTTCTCTTCTGTTTGGTCCTCTTACTCTCGCAGATCGCCTCATGCTGCTGCAACTCCAGGCCCATTGTTGCAGAAAACATAATGCACTTCTACGTCTTTTCTTCACTTTTTGTCCTTCTTCTTTTCCATCAGCTTTCTCGGAATGAGTTTTACCGTCTGCCTTACACATTGTATCGTTTGTTTTTTCAGTACCTTTTTCAGAAACCTTATCACTTGATTTATCACTTTCCTTATCACTAGATTTCTCATTAGGTACTCCATTATCTATGCAGTAAATATCGTCTGTTACTTTGTCGCTCTCTAATTTGTCGATATTTGCATCTGCTTCAGAATGCATCTGTTCCTCCGATTCTATGTTTTTTGTTTCAGTTTGTTCTTCACTTTGTAAACCATCTGTGTCAGACATTCTTAAAGGATCTTCGTCTTCAACTATTTGCACATCGCTTGAGCAAGATTTTTTGTCCTCTTCGATTTCAATTTCCATTGCTGTGTCTGTATTAAAAACTTGATTGTCGTCTAATATCTCGCAATCTTCCGTTTCAATTTTAATAGCTTTGATATCAGTCTCTCCATTCGGAATCAAATCATTTTGTTGATCCATTTCCATTATACTTACACTATTTTCTGCAGTTTCTAGTTCATTACTCACTGTATTCTTATCATCAGGTTTTTGGACTGATAATACAATTTTACTGACAAAATTCAAATTATTATCAGTAATATATCTATGCATGTCTAGTAGACTTTCTCCGAGAGCCAACCATGTGCAGCTTGTTAAGGGCATTCTTAAAATCAATTCTGGTAAAGGTTTTGGTGTAAACTCTGCTTTGCAAACTTCCGCCCACTTTCTAGAAACTTCCTTTGCCTCTGCTAATAATTTGTCACCCAATATATGATCATATTCTGTATACAAAGGTGGATCCATCTGCCAGTCGCTATTGTATAGCTTGTAACATTCTTCCATACATGGAATGTCTTTAAATATCTTGTCACGAAAAGCTAGACCTTTCACATAATTAGGATCTCTTTCCAATGCCATAGAAATATATAACAGACAGTTCATATAATCAGGAACGGCATATAAGGCAGTTATGAGGTTGTCCAAGCATGGCCAGTGATTAATATTACATTTCAGTCCTTGCTTGAATGCCGAACAAGCTAATTCCAAATTGGAAATCTTCATAGCTAATGTACCAATCCTATGCCATAATGTTACATCAGAATCGTCCAGGTTTGCAGCCTCCCAATAATTCTCTACAGCTTCCTCATAATTCTCACAAGCTGCTTGAATGGCACCAATGTTCTTGAAGCAGGAATATTTTAAGGATAACATTGGTCTGGACCTACCATCTGGTACTTCAGGTTTTTCTACTTCGTCTAACAGTTCAGTGTCTAGAAGATCTTTGAAGACAATCAGTGCTTCCTCATGTTTGTTCTCTTTCAACAGCTCCAGGGCTTTATTGTATTCTGTTAGTGCTATTTGTTCCTAGAAGAAATTATTTCACATTTTATCATATATATCAATATAATATTTAAAATTCATCCAAATTTCAATTTAAATATCTGATACTTTTAGCATCGCTAACTTTATGATTCTCAGTGCACAATATGTATGCGTAGTCTAATACTAGTCTAAAATCATTATCAGACTGTGTATTAAACATTGAAATATTGAGGATTAAAAGATCGAAATTTGACCAATCAAAACAAAAAAAAGCTAAAATTTCTTTACCCTTATTGGTCAAATTTCAATATGTAGTTTCTAACTTAAAACATCTTTAAGACATTGTATGTTGATTTTAAACATGATGCTGTCTAGATAAAAACATTTCCAGAGAATATAGATAAGTAATTTATCATATATTTCACTGGAGAATGATTATCTGTTGAATACAAAGTAATACATAGTAACATTATATTTATAACTTAATAATATAGATGTAATATAACATATGTTGTACGTAATAGTTACACTGTTCAGTAAGAAATTATAACATTGGTGTAATATTACTGTTACTTTGTATTTAGCAGACATGTATATGTATATATATATCTATATACATGTTGATTCCACCTGGTATTGAATGGGGATCTCTATGCACTCTTCAAACGTTAGTTATCTATGCTGAACAGATACCGTCAATGCAAGAACGCAGTAAATTAATATTATGGATAACGATACGAAACAACAGAGAAGTGTCGAAGAAATTCATATCCGTACGTCTCTTTTAGGTTAAACAACAATGTAAACAGACGCGTGTCCTACCTGTGCTTCCTTCGTGATCGTGGGTAAATCCTCCTCCTCGCTTTCCTCACTTGACTCTTCGTTGAGCGCCGAAATCTTGATCATCCTGCCGAATTCGTGTGGTGTCGGCTACGTACAAAACGTCAACAAAACAACCGGTTTTTTAACACGCCGCCATGCCAATATGCCATCGAGTTGATCGGGCCAAGCATTCGTGAAATGTCGTGGGATGCAGATATTGCAGATGAGATCGTTGAATGGTCAAAAGAGATGATCCAGATAGCGATCAAGTGTATATAAAATCTGAGTTGTTTGCTCAATCATACTTTGGTATTCCTGTCTTTTTTTTTTGTGATCTTGCTGCACGTGTATCCGGTCCTTCATGAAACGGAAAGAAATGCAACTTAAACGAGAAAAAAGATTAATTTATTTATATTTGACTCGCGTCGAGTGCAGGCGAGTGCAGGAAAACAGGAGCAATGTATCATCTGCGATTCCGATTTCCGAGATCGAGAATCTCGCGTACAGCGAGAGGAACTAAGAGGAACGATTGAACTTTAACTTATTTATCTCGCTTGTCACTCCGCACATTATAAATAAAATGATATGTCGCATGCAGCGACCGGGTTGCATCAACAACCGCTGTTAATCACATCGGTTCCAACTTGTTAGGTTCGCCTTTGTTTTTAGTCCAGGCACGTATTGGATGATGTTTCGCGGAGAATGACAATTATCGAAAATATCTTGCACGAGAGGATGTTATGCATAATTATGCAAGGTAAACATAATTATGCTACTTCATTGCCAGTCTCAGTAAACATAGTGTAAGTACGCCAGGAGATTGGATTGTAGGATGAGTTTTACAAAATAAGTATGTTGACGTAACAGAAAATTTATCAGGGGTTACGTCTCGGTGCGAAGATAAGTGCAACTATATTGCGATATAGCATGTACAATGTGAGCATTTGACTTTAGTACTGTTGAAGTATGCAGTTTTTTCAGGAACTATCCTTGGTAGATTAGCGTCAACCATCTACTTGTTTTACTGATAGAACCTACTACATATAGGGTAATCTCAATTAAACTTTGATTAATTTAACCGATAATCAATGAAACTAACAAAATTGTTTAAAGAAAACTTTCTAATTGTATATCTGTCATTCTTAATGTAATTTTTTATATGTTAAATTAATAATTAAAATTAATAATTTTATCTTATTAAAATTATAAATATTATTTGATAAGTTGAATAATTGGAATTTAATTAAAGTTATTTATATTCTGATCATAGTGGGTTTCTTCCATCATTTTTCTGATAACAAAATTGATAGCAGAAACCAAGCTTATCTCGTAAATAAAAATATTCATTATGAATAATTTTTTTGTTACAAGTTTGTTTTGTCAGGCAGATTCAATGTGTCATGTATTCTGTGCTTTGTAAAATTTATATTGATTGTATCAGGCTATTTATGATCATATTTGATGACAAAATTATACTAAAAGTTTTCTTTGTAAATTATCATTAGCAACACAAATTAAATTACATACATACAATCATGTTAGCAACATGTATAAGATTTAAAATGTGTGAAACATATGTTATATTATAACATTTGATTAAATATGAATACTTTCATCGCATACATTGTAGCTACAATGTTTTTTGAAAATTACACAAATGATTGTCTCTTTAGTTTTCTTACAATAAATTTTACATATGATAGGGGATTTCAATAAAAATAAAAACATCGGTTTATATAAACACATAGTTACATTATTAAAACTCGCGGTAAACAATAAGAAATTGTTTGTTGATATTGGAGTTTAATGTAAAAATGGAAGAAATTATTATGTATGATGATAATAATATTATACTATTATTGAGAATGACGCAAATAAGTAACAGTCTTTAATGAGAATGTTGTATACAATAAACATTGTTAGATTACAGAAGAGGTAAGATTGCAACATGACAACGATATTTAACTTCATTATACACATTCTGTAGCTTCTAAAGTTATGCAAGTGATAATAAATAGCAAGATGTGTGTAACAAATAATAATTTAAAATTAAAATCTAAACATTTATAACAAAGCATCCTTACCATTAACTGTATTCTAACAAGATGTGTAAAGTATATTACAATTCATTCTTGGCACTTTAAATCACCTTACAAATAAATTCCCTTATTACATAATGGAAAATTCATGTAAAAAATCAAGATTGATTTCAAAAATTATAAACAATAATTTTTTATACTGTTTCAGTAGTTACTGAATTAATAATATAAATTGACATAAATATGTACATCGCAGCAGACCAGTTGAGAGAGATGATACGCGGACCATAGATACAAAAAGTGCTTGATTCTGCAATTGAAAAATACAATGATATAATAAAATCACCTTCTATTTATAATAGATTTAATCAAAATTGGTGTATAGGTGAGCATGCGGTCTAAAAATATAATAAAATATTATTTTCTTTATATAATATTTTTCTAGAATAAACTTAAAGTAATATAACTATTTCTCTTTTATAGAACCTACAATGAGACATTATTGGGCTGCTTCCTTTTTATTACCAGTCGGATCTATTCTTATTCTTGCAATGGTTGTTTTGTTAATGGTAATGACTATAAATTTATTATAATGATCGTTTGTTTATTAATGGAATCTTTAATGAAAATTTTAAATTTTAAATGACAATTATAGGTATTGTTCAAACGATGTCCTCATATAATAGCCGCGATTGTTACTGCAATGCTCATTATCATTATCATATTAACAATTATATTGTCACTTAATAACGATCCAGTTTATACTTAATTTATAATTACATATATTGACTATCACATAAATCTTTCTTCCATATGTACATTGAACTGAGTTTATAATTAATAATATATAATACATATGTATAAGAATTTTTGTAACAATTATATATATTAAATAAATAGATATGTTACTTACTACTAGGACTGTTCATTCATCATTTTTATTTTAATCATGTCTTCTGAAACGCGTTCTACTGTTTCCAGATACTTTTCCAAAGTTGCATCTAATCTTTCGTAGCTCTAAAATATAAATCTCATCATATATCAAGTTGTAATTATTAATATATAAATATACATTTTTACGAGTTAAAAATATATATACTTTACCTCTGCATGAGCTGAGTCATTTTTTAAGTGCTGCAATTCACTTAATAATACTTCTATAGTATTAAGCGGTAACCAAACAGGCGGCGCGGTAGCTACTAATGGTGTTTCAAGACCAAAATGTTCTTTACCGCTACCTAATACCGCATTAATGTAATCTACTGCTAAGTCACTGGCTTCCACTAGTCGACCAGTATTTAGCATAAGACGAAGAAGCTCTGACGCATTTCGTTTCTATAATATTTTGATGTAAATAGATGATTTTATCTCAACATATAGAAATATTATATAAATACTGAATAAATTTGATCAAGAGAAAGTACTTACTTTATACGATATTAATAACCATTGTGGTAGAAAAGCTCCATCTTGTAGTAATTTTTGTGCAACGGCCTTATGTAGTTCACAGTTATCACTCTTTTCGTGCTTCAATGTGAAATACTCTAATAATCTCCAAGCAGTGTTTGTAATGGTTGTATTAGATATTCCAATATCTGAAGATTATTATATATATATATACACACAAAGCTCTTGGAAAAAAATATTTCGCAATAGTTTGCAAAATTATAATATAACTATGCATACCAAATATATCATTTTGTATTAGCCAATCCCAGGCGTTTGGATCCTCACGTTGGCTTAATTTAATGCATTGAGAGGTCAAACTTTTGAGTACAGAGGCTTTACTAATTTTGAATACATCACATAAATGTAGCGCTGTTGCGTACAAGCCAATGCTACATAAAGTGACAATAAGCTCAGATAGTTCTGAAATACATAAATATGTAACATAATTTTGGTCAATTTCTTCATAAAGATAAATAAAACACAGTTAAGAGACATTTACCAGTATGTGCAACTATATGCATTTCTGAATTTACTTTTGATATTTTTAATCTTGCATCTACTATATAATACTCCTTTTTGATATCATCCAGTTCTAATACTTCGACTTGTTTCTTTATCTTATAATGCAAAACCTCTTTTCCATCAATGTTTCGTTTCTTTTGTGGATTCGACGAATTCATCTCGCTAGATATACTCTGATCAATTACAGGCCTTACGATCCACCTGTACTTTTCACTTACATGATGTAAAGCATTAATACACGCTAGTAGACATTGTGCTTGCTTCGTTATAACCGGTGCAGAATGAGGCTCTTGACTCAAACGCATAGCTTGTTCGTACATTACAGATGCGGCTGTGAAAATATAAAAATTTATAGCTAATAATATGTGTATATATTCAATCACAGAATAAGAAGCTTACCTTTCCGCATGTTTTGCTTATTGATATGGAAACTATATAAAAAATTATAATAATTGTTTTCCATAAGATCAACGCTTCTGGCTCTGCCTTCTACTATTCTCTCGAGATCCTCGTACATATCGATATAAGGAAAAGAAATTAAATCTATCAACAATTTTTTTTCGAATAATGTAACGACCAATTGCCGTAAGCAATCCACTCTACGTACGGGATCTGGATTCGCGTTCAAGCAATGGTAAGCTTCCGCGTGATGACCCAGACTTAAATGTTGTGCGAATATTATGGAATGAAGTGTCGGTAAATTTGGATCATCTGCGTCGGCATTCGTTATGGCTGTTTCAGCGATCTCTATGATACAGTCGGACGCATTGTGCTCTTCAAACAATTTAATAACTTTTAGATAATAATAAACCAAATCTCTATTTCTCGATGTTACGTTAGAATTGAGTAAGGCATCTACTAGAAACACGTCGGTTAATATTCCGTCGGAAGCACGAAGAAAATGATCACACGCCTTTTGCATCTCTCCCATTTCTAATAAGGCAACCGCTAATATAAATTTCCTCGAAGCACTATTCCACTCGCACCACGTCTTCAAAAGTCTCACATATTCTTGAACAAGCAGGAATTGGCAACTGGAGAGTAGCCACTCGGGGAAGATAAAATTTCCAGATATCGGCCATCTAATTGCATTGTTTAAGAAAATGTATAAAGACCATAAATCTTGAATTATTTGAATTTGACATAAAAGAATTAATACGAAAATTGTGTTGAAGCTGTTAATAAAGGATACATAAGTTGCGCGATAAGCGTCACATGCGTTAGCAAACTATAATGCCAAGGTATCAGAGTTGTTGGGTCCATGTTTGTTTGAGCCATTAAAATATGGGCATGTTTTGCACCACTGCTATGGATAAACAATTCCAGCAGCGACAGAGACCGATGCTGTCTCTGTCCAACATTAATTCGCGAATCGGCGAGTTTAAGAGTTGAAAGACGTTGAGAACTAGATTCGCTGAAATTTTGTAATCTTCTTTAGTATGTCATGTTGTTGTTTGAATATTGCTTGGTAATCAGAAATAAATTTATATTTATTATAAGAAGATAAAACTTACAGTAATGATTGTGAAGGAGTATATGTTGCTGTCGACTCGCATATCCACGTGACAACGTAGTAAGCTTGAGTAAGTACAACGGTTCTCGGCGCTAACGATGATCTTATAGTATGTAAAGATCTCGAATTAAATATCTCAGGACGAAGTAATATGAGTTGTTGCAGTATCAACAAATCTCTGCAGATGGAAAATCTCAGAAGCGCTATTTGTGTTATGGTTTCTGCTACCGTGGAAATTCCTAGCTGACTACCAAATAGATGATTGACATTCAACAAAAGTTTCGAAGTATCGTGATCATCCTCGAATTGCAGTTTATTCGGCTGCCCAAGATCATATGTTAAAGCTTCTAACAACATGGCCATGGCTCCTGATATATCTTTAACGTTGCTCAGCTTATGACAAAGTTCCGATTGGAAATCAAAATCCGACAGCTATTTGTAACAGTATGTATGTTGCATAAGAGTACATTGCATAAAGAAAAACAGAGTAAAAATTAATTAAAATACTCACTGGATCATCAGGTTCCAACAGTTTTGACAGCAAATCATCAATTATGATATCTGGGCTTCTCAAATGATACAATTCTCTCTCGATTTCCGTTTTAGTTTCTTCGGATAATTGTTCTCCTAACAAGACTAATGCGGACATTAACGTAATTAGATCTTGACATGTGTCTTCATCTTGTGATAGAATGGGCGTTCTTTTGAATCGGGAAATATAGGAGTTGTTGTTGCAAAGTACTAGATGTTCTAAAGCTTCCATAGGTCTTAGAAACGAGAACGAGGACTTCTTCAATAACACAACGCCGTAAACGCTCGGCAGTAGCAGTAGACCTACAGGACGAGTACCATTGGCATGGTATTGGACGACGCACGAGTAGAATTTTGACCAACATCGATTAGCAATTTCGAGATAATCTTCATCCATAATCACGTAATCCATTACTTCTGCCTGCATCTCGGCCTCTACTGCCATACACACCCTTTCTTTTAAAACGGCTGGTGAAAAAGTCATATCTACTATTACATTAGATCTCCTGTAGATGCTCAGGGCTTTCGTAATATCTGCCAGCGAAAACTGTCCAGGATGAAAAATATAATTAATGTACGCCTCTCTTGGATCTATTCCAGGTTCAGTTACAATATAATCTCTGTCACGCGCTTGTTCTAAAATCGTGGTTTCCCATGCTGGTCTAATGCGGTGCGTTACAGGTAACTGTGCGTGCGTCACTGCCACCGCATCCATGTCCGCGGTTCTCCATACTGCCCACAATCTAGTTGGCGTGAATGCAAAATCTACCAGATGTTGCTGTGTATAAATAATATAAATTCGTTACGCTTTTTATCATAGTAAAATATATAGAAAAAGAAATATTAATAAAAGTACTTACATCTGGCGCGTATAATGTACATAATCTAATAAATTTGAACATGCCGTTGTCCTGCACAAGCTTCAGAATGCTGAACTCACATCCCGTGCTGAATTTTAAGAAAGTTCCAAGATACAATTCGTTATCATTGCCCAGCGCTTTTCTTAAGACGTGGCCTTGTGCACCTTGAGATACAATACGATTCTCGGTAGCCGCGTCTGTCACAGCTACGCACTGTGTTTTGTTGCAAGACCATATACGTAGATTGCCCTCTCGACATAATGCAAATAGATACGTATCGCTGCCGTAATTGTGTATAACAAGAGACATAGCCACGTAAGCTTCGGTATTACGACCTCTAAATGCAGTGGCTATACCACTTAAGAATTTAGGCATTATCGAGTCCTGTTTCAATTCACTGGTGTGCACAAAACCTGTAAGTGTATCGAGCCTCAAAAGTAATATAGTAGCTGAACTGTATGCAAGGGCAAATAATGCCTCTTCCTGTGGCAATGTAAGCCATGACGCTGCTGCATGAGGCACTGGGGAGTCTGAAAAAAATTGTTAAGTGAATGACTGGTATATTAATATAGTGATCAAATTAAATATATTATATTGCTGTATTATGATAGAAGGTGCTTTCCAATAAAAGATGACACAATGTAACACAATAAATCATTACATCCTTGTTTAAACAGAAATGAAATGATTACTGTGTCACTGTATCTTTTGCTGGAAAGATCCAATAATCTATATGCTTACTTGTGGCTCCAGCATTAGAAATAATGTGAAATGTATGAGGATCTCTAGCATTTTGCACAGAGGCTTCGCTAAATATAGATTGTACACTAAGATCAGTATATGTTCCCAACAAATTTTCCTTGAAAAAATAAATTATTAATAAAATAATTAAAATAATTTTTGGTAATAAAATATGCATAAAAAGTAAATAATAAAATTTATGCACTTGATTGTGAATTTTATCCGGATGAGAAAAGGAAAGCTTGTGGACACTGGAAACTGTGACAATCAAGATAATGACAGAATTGACTGTCTCGTGAATAGAAATTCCATCTAGAATTGGAGTGTCTGTAAATTTGTATCTCACTCGACAATTGGCAAGATTAATGTCCAAACTATGTTCCACCAATTCAAGTACATCATGGCAAATACGCCAGTAAATAAAGCGATTACGAGTGAAATACTTGGAAGAATCTTTGTATGAGTAGCCACCTGCTCTTTCTGGTACTTTTATATCTTGCAATGTACTTTGGCTTCCACCTATAAAAATAAGATTCTTTTCATTTATTCCTTCTTAGTAGATAATAATAATAACATTAGTAATGATACAACAGATAACAATATAATAATGCAATTATTTTTTATTACATATATTATTGTGTATCTTCTAACAAGCGACATAATACAATACAGTGATCATCTCATCCTTGTTTAACATTGACAAACAAAGACGTACTAATCATACTATGTCACACCGTGTCATCTGCATCGTTTATTGGAAGGTACTCATTATTACCTATTATAAGCTTTTTTATAATAGCAACAGCTAATATAATAGTTAATTTAATTATTGTGCAATTATTTAAAAATTATTAACAGTAATTTTATCAAAATGCAATAAATTGATATACGTGTTTGACGTATGTATAAATTTGAGGTCAGTTACGTGTGCCACTTGATTTACAAAAATCCAAAATCAATTTACATAAGAATGAGCAGTGAACATAAGATGGGTAGAGGTTAGACAATACAAAAATGATACTTCAACTTGCGAATGTTATACAATATATTATTCCACAAGTGTTATGCTTGCACATTGCTGCGGATAGTTTCTTAAAGAATTTTTATGTGACGACTTGAGTGAAATTTCGGTTTGCCGGGCGGTTGAGCTCCGGTTAGAGGAGGTTAGAACACGTTTACCTGTGTTCAGAGTGATCTCTTTCCATTTCTCTGGCAGAGTTTGATCCGGCACGACCTCGCGATATCCCAGCAGGAACTCTAACATGTTCCGATGCTTTACAAAGAGATACTAAAACGAGTTTATCACTTTACATCACAAAAAACCGCTGATTTGAGCGGTTATCGAACGGTTTTTGGCGCTCGCCTCGTGTTTTAACTTACGTCATCGATGAAGTATTATTAAAGGCAATCTCACAAGTACGATTGAAAAACGTCTTTCGCGCCCTCTCGGCCATGATGTAAAAAGGTAATGGGCACATTCAGCGGATTCAACAGTTGAGTGAAGCTAAAGCGGGGAGCACAGCTTTTGCATAAAGCGGGGAGCACAGACTTTTGCATAACGCATAAAGCATGTGCATAAGGAATTTCATTGGTCCATTTTCTTATGCATGAGTCAATGGACCAATCAAATTCTTTATGTATATGGTTTATGCGTTATGCAAAAGTCTGTGCTCCCCGCTTTATGCAAAAGTCTGTGCTCCCCGCTTAAGGACCTCTTTCACCAACGCCGATTAACTTAATCGACGATTAGTCTATTGGAATTGACCAATCGCGTCTGTCGTCAAAACTAAATGATAAATGCGATTGGTCAATTCCAATGGACTAATCGTCGATTAAGTTAATCGGCGTTGGTGAAAGAGGCCCTAAAGGTGCCTTTTCACGAGCTGCTGAAACTGGCCGTTCCAGCGACAAAAAAGGTCACATGATAAAAATTGACGAATAGCAAGCGAATATGACGCTTGCTATTCGTCAATTTTTAATATTCGTCATTTTCTTATGCATGAGTCAATGGACCAATCAAATTCTTTATGTATATGGTTTATGCGTCATGCAAAGTGTGTGCTGCGGCCTTTACTAGGCAACTTGCTTATTTCGCGCATGCGCACTCCATTTTGGCTAACATCAAAGGTGCCGACCGTGCCGACAGATTACTTGTATATACTTGTGTTGTGATCATGTCGATCGCGGGACGCGGGCTGTCATATGATGGAATTATGTATTCCGAATTAGTTTGAAATAGTTGAAAATGATCTGAAATGTTAAATGAGATTGCCAAGCGGATGCTCGAGCACTCAAACATGGCACACTATTCGATATACATGAATTATGTGATTGTTGAATGGAGCAATAAATGAATCCGAATAAAATAGTATTATTGTTATGATTTTCTAGCCACACACGCACACACGATTCATCGCAGTTGGGATTTTTGTGTGCATTCGTGCAAAATATAATAATGGCTTAAAAGTTATCGTTAACATTATTACTGATTTTTCACAGCGATAACATTATTAGGCTTCTACAAAAGATGAACAAAAAGGTAGTCACGGCGTTTTACTTGACGCTAAACATAGCCTTCTCAATTATAATTGTGCTTCTCAACAAATGGCTCTACGTTCATACCCGCTTTCCGAATATCACGCTGTCCATGATACACTTCTTTATGACGTTCATCGGCTTGATAATTTGCGAAAAGCTGGATGTCTTTTGTATTAAAAGTATTGACATCAAAGAGATGATATTTATTGCCATGACATTTTGTGGATTTGTCGTTCTAACGAATCTGAGTTTGGCCCACAACACAGTTGGGACCTATCAGGTGGCAAAAATGCTAACGACACCCTGCGTGATAGTAATGCAGATGATATTTTATAAAAAGCGTTTTGGCATACTTGTTAAACTGACCCTGATACCGATTACACTGGGAGTTATAATTAATTTTTATTATGACATACAATTCAACATTATTGGAACCATTTATGCATCACTGGGAGTATTTGTAACGTCTCTATATCAAGTTGTATGTCCTATCTTTGATAAATAAGAAAAAAGTCAAGATTTATGTATTATGGAAATTATAGATATATATAGTACTGATTATTTCTTTTATTGCTTCTTACAGATGATAAACAGAAAGCAGAAAGAGTTTCAGATGGATCCAATGCAGTTGTTGTACTATCAAGCACCATTATCTGCTGTTATGCTGTTGATTGTAGTCCCGCTTTTGGAGCCTATTGGACAGACATTCATGCACAAGTGGTCATTGTTGGATATAGTATGTTTCTGAAATAGCAGATAGATTTAAGACACTTTTGAAATTATTGAACTGAATAATCACGTTATACTTTATTTATAGGTCATGGTGATACTATCAGGTATCGTTGCCTTCTTTGTAAATTTAACTTCTTACTGGATTATAGGAAAGACCTCACCTTTAACGTATCCTTACATTAATATTATATTATGAGATGTACACAAAGTTATATGTTATACACTTTAACAAGATGTTCAGATATAATATGGTTGGACATTCCAAATTCTGCCTTCTGCTGCTGGGAGGCTCATTACTTTTCCACGAAACATTAGCGATAAATCAAGTTATAGGTATAACTTTAACATTAGTGGGAATTATATTATATGCCCACGTCAAAGTAAGTCTAGCTTTTGTATGTCTCATCATCTTTATACTTTATATTCAATAGAAAATATTCCCTTTTTTAGATGAAAGACAACCAGATGGTAGTACCAGAATTTGAAGATGGAGAAACAAAGCCTCTATATAAAGTATGATTCTGTTTTATGCTAAGATAGACTCGAAGGAATTGAAAAAGTAAATCGCAGTACTTAATAATGTATAAATTTTATAAATCACACTGAAATGTACACCGTATTAAACATTTATTTATTATTCTTGAACTTTTTTAAATAGTTCCTTATTCTAAAACAAGTTATATGATAACCTTGAAGAACGATTATCATATAATGTAAATCTATATGTAAATAAAAAAATGTAAAAAATACTTATAAGAAGTAGTACTAGAAAATTGTATGTATACACAATTTAATTTTTATTGGAAAAAATGAGCTGTATTGATTATATCTCTTTTCAATCCTGTTTGACTCATATTTTATGCAATTACAGTTTTATATATATGTATATACACACACACATACCCATGCTCTGTACTAATGTTGACTTTTATAAATATTTTTTATTTTAATCTTTTAAGTCTAAAATGTTAACTTTATAACATATATTTCCTGTTTGTTGAGTTTTCAAATGTATGATTCAATAAGATTCTTATTATTTTTATTGTTTATATTTTACAATATATATATATGTATATTAGTATTAAATTTAATATAATTAAACAAGTACATAATAATGTATATATTTGTATTTATTATGTAATTTATATTATAATAATTAATTATAATGAAATATAATAGAACCTTCAGTGTAAATAAGAAAGATTAAAGCTCGAATTTTCAAATGTCAATAAATTATAATTGTTTATTTTTTTATTTTCTGTTTTATTTTTTGTTAAAATAGATTAAGATATATTGTTACGATTAAATTAATATCAAATTTGAGTGGAAAATTAAATCGATGCAACAGCGTGAGTGTATTGCATAAATGAAATTTTTGACGAAAAAGAATCATCGAGAAAACGGTATCTCGAAGCAAAATGGGTCGACGTCACACCTTGGGCTGAGATAGTTGGAACTTGTATTGAAATCAGTGGCAACTTCAAATTAAGATTACGATTTACCGTTAGCTTTTTCCCAGGTGTACCGGACCCAACGGTTGGTTTTCTAAAATGCCTTTATATACGAAATCAGTCTGCCTGTGGCACTCTCGAGAAATTGTTGTCTTATGAGACATCTAGCCATTGAAAAATGTATCAATTGCTAGACGCGGACTTTTTGATAGGTATAGCTTGCAATCTATTTTCTACAAACGTAATTACATTTCTTTCAACTAACAATTCGGAAGATATATCTCTTATTTTTAACTTTTTCTCTTAACTTTACTGTAAATGACGAAATATATCTGCATAGTATCGTTGAGTGGATCAATAAACGAACTTAAGCTTCAGAATGTGGCGCGCAAGCTGCGCACACGTTCAATTTTCGCTAATGGCGTTGCTATAATAATGCGACTGGAAGGGAGGGAGTTAACTCCGTTCTCCGTTACCGATCAAACAAGTTGTAGCAACGTGCACGCCCGGCCGGTTTACACTTTACGTTGGTCTAATTTTGATTTTTGCAAAAAGGTGACAACGATGAAAATCGAGGAGGTGAAGAGCACCGCCAAGACCCAGAGGATTTCAGCTCACACACATATCAAGGGACTTGGACTTGATGAAAATGGGTCTGCCATCCAGAGTGCGGCCGGTCTCGTCGGTCAGGAAATGGCACGTGAGGTTAGCGCCTTCTTGAGAGAATCGGGAATTGCGTTGTTTTATGTGCATGATGTATCATGTGTCATGCGATACTTATTAGAATTATAGAAACTCTCAAAGAGTACCATCACAGAGAAAGCATCACGATTTTCTGGTCTTACTAAAATTCATAATATCTTCTCTATTACCAAAGAATATATCACGATTCTATTTTTTATTTTAGTTATTTATGTGTTATGTGTATAATTATTTAATTTGTTCTCAAAATGAATTACAATTTAATTCCTTTTAGTTGCATCAAAACTCACTAATTAATCTCATAAATCAAACAATAGATACATATAATAGTATCGTAGTAGAAGAAAACCATGCTTAAAAATCATAAGAAACTTATACACCTACACTATACATCAGGTGATATTTACGTCAAATTTCAACAGTTTTAAATCACCCGATTTTTCACCGTTTTAGTTTCTTTTTTTATTGTATTTTTGTATATATTTAATGATTTTCTGGATGTGATTAGGAGCATGAGCATAATGTTTTTTTATAGGCAGCAGGTATCGTTGTTGATATGATAAAGTCAAAGAAAATGGCAGGACGTGCCGTGTTATTGGCTGGTCCACCAGGCACAGGCAAGACTGCGATAGCACTTGCCATTGCTCAAGAACTTGGTAACAAAGTACCTTTCTGTCCTATGGTAGGCTCAGAAGTTTACAGCTCGGAAATTAAAAAAACAGAGGTTCTTATGGAGAATTTTAGAAGGGCTATTGGTTTGAGGATTAAAGAGACTAAAGAGGTATATGAAGGTGAAGTGACAGAATTGTCACCTGTTGAAACAGAAAATCCTATGGGTGGCTATGGTAAAACTGTATCTCACGTAGTTATTGGATTGAAAACTTCTAAAGGCACAAAACAATTAAAACTAGATCCTTCGATATATGAATCTTTACAAAAAGAGAAAGTGGAAACTGGCGATGTAATTTACATTGAAGCTAATAGCGGGGCAGTAAAGAGGCAAGGTCGAAGCGACAATTTTGCTACAGAATTCGATCTGGAAGCGGAGGAATATGTTCCTTTACCAAAAGGCGATGTACATAAAAAGAAGGAAGTTATTCAAGATGTGACGTTGCATGATTTGGATGTAGCTAATGCCAAGCCACAAGGAGGACAGGACATAATGTCAATGATGGGACAATTGATGAAGCCTAAGAAAACTGAAATTACAGGTACAAGATCAAATTTGCTGTATATTATTTATACAGAATAGTTAATAATATCAACCTTCAATAAAAGGATCTAAAACTTAAAGTGAGAAAAATATACTAGTTGTTTATTGAATATAAATTAAAAATAATGCTTATACTATGCTTTGTTAAGTAATGAAGTGGAAACAGGTCTATTAATATTTTAAATATTATTTATATCTTACACTTTTCTTAAATATAGTTATATGTTAAAGATATATTTAATTATAATTAGAAATATATTTAATCAAGTCAAAATTATTTCAGATAAGTTGCGGAAAGAGATAAATAAGGTAGTAAACAAATATATCGACCAAGGCATTGCTGAGTTAGTACCAGGAGTTTTATTCATAGATGAAGTTCATATGTTAGACATAGAAACGTTTACTTATCTACATCGCGCATTGGAAAGTGCTATAGCGCCAATCGTTATTTTCGCTACGAATCGTGGTCGCTGCGAGATCAGAGGAACTGAAGACATTATCTCTCCACATGGCATACCTCTTGATCTGTTGGACCGTCTTCTGATTATAAGAACTCTTCCATATTCTAGACAAGAAATTGAACAAATAGTAAAACTAAGAGCTGTTACGGAAGGACTACAAATTGATGATGAGGCTCTATCCAGTCTTGGCGAACTTGGTACGAAAACTACTCTCAGATATGTAGTACAACTTTTAACACCTGCAGCTTTGGCGGCAAAAGTCAATGAAAGGACTAGTATCAAAAAGGAGGACATCGAGGAAGTTAATGCGCTTTTTTTGGATGCTAAATCGTCGGCTAAAATACTTTCACAAAATCAAGATAAATTTATGAAATAAAAAATTTATAGTTTTATGTGATATATATAATTATTTTTCTTAAATCCGTAAATTAAACAGCGATTTAATTATTAGATTTTTGTTATTTATTTTAACCTTCTCAAATCTGTTTGACAATTACTTTTTTAATTAGAATTAATAAAAATCATGTTTTTTAAAAGTGTATATATAGTGATATTGAAAGGTTACATTACCATTGTAATGAAAATAATCTTATATATATTACTACACGTATTACTTTCACATAAAATTGAATTGCTTTAATATGAATGTTACACAACAATGATATTTCATAAATAAAAATTTCTTATGAAACAAGCAATATGTTTATGTGTCTTACTTGTAATATTTTTTAAATAGTGAATTGTATTAATGAGTCCATAATTAATAATAAAATTTATAAGAGTTATTTCGTATAAGAGTATTATACGAGATTTTTTATATATTGTACAATATTTACGAAATAAAAGCAAAAATAATGTTTATTTATGTTTGATGAGATATAGATTCCGTCTTACTTAGATGTCCCAGATCAAACGTTAATAAACTTCTTAGTGTCACAAGATATATTAACGACGAAAATAATTTCTCAATATTGTCTTAGATGTTGAACGACTCAGGGTTCAAAAGCTGAAGAGTTCAGCTGTAATCAGAAGTTGTGACATCATTGTGCGATATCTACACCCTGAGTATAAAATCTCCGTCAATTTTAATATTCGTTAGTTTTAAGATTCTCGAGTGGCCGCAGTATTAAATACCGAGCACCGCATTTCAATCTATTTCTAATATATTTCTGTGCGTATTTCTTGAAAGTTAAGATGCAGTATACTTTAAAGATGGCAAAGTGCTCTAGGTTTTTAAATAAGTATAATATTGTGGCTCAACATACGCGCTGTCTGCAACTGAGTAGTTCGCAGAGACAGAATATGAGTAAATTATTTCCACAAAAGGAAGAATTTCAAACGAGACACATTGGACCCAGAGAACATGAACAGATAGAGATGTTAAGACTAATTGGATTGAAGGTAATTTATTTCTGATCGTTTATACGATAAAAATGCTTGTATCACAATGGATTAATTTTTGTTCGCGGTGCAATATTGCAGAGCCTTGATGAATTAACGGAAGCCGCAGTACCAGCTAAAATTCTTCACAAGGGAGATCTAAATCTCGATGAGCCAGTTAGTGAGTAATTTTCCGAATTAACGTACACGATATTTAGATTTTATCAACACGTGATTGTATTAATTTGGAATAAATTGTTAGGCCTTTGTTCTATTATGTTGTCTGTGAAATTACACAGGTCTTTTTCTTAAGAATACATCTATAAATAACAAAAACGTATATTTTTTTATTCTTTTACGATACGTGATAACTGCAATGGTTCATTCCGTGAAAACGTGACAAGT